AAACCCACAAATAGATAGCAATTAACCAGCATTCAGATGTGAAGCAGTCACTGGGAGGCAGGTGGGGCCATTCTGTGCACATCTTTCCCCTGCTTGGGGTGACCCAGGTGAGAGAGTCATCAGTACTGCTGTAGGAGAGGCCCCTTGCAGGCTGGGTTTCATGCTCCATGAATAGCTCCTAAAAGTGACCACCAAGGCCTAAACCTGCCCCTGAGCACAGAAGACCTGCTTTGCTGGGCATAGAGGAGAGGGAGGGAGGAAATCAGGGAAAGGAGGATAAACCTGGGTGGGACCTGGGTCGGGGGCAGATAGCAAGAATCCCCAGATGCTCCTGGCACAGCTCGGGTTGGTGAGACAGGCCTGGGCAAACAGTTCCAAACTTGACCCATCCCTCTTGGAGGCTCAGCTTCCTGGGTGAGGAGAGGGAGAAGGCTGATGAAAACAGAAGTGCCCAGACATCTTCCTCCCCTCACATGATGGACCTCAGGCTCAAAGGAGATTCTATCCACACAGAAAGTCCATTCTGATGTGTGTGTGTGAGAGAGAGAGAGACAGAGAGAGACAGAGAGACAGAGAGAGAGGGGGACAGAGAGCAAGAGACTGAGACTTTAAGGTTACGAGCCAGTAGCCACGTGAAAGTGTTTTAAAGTCCCTCACAGTGGATAAGAATTAGAAAAAAAGCAAACAAGATGTATCTTCATCCAGGGGACTGTCTTAGTGATGAGTGGCCCCTGACATGGTAGAACAAATAGGCCATGACCCCCCGGCCCTGGGTGCAAGGTGAGGACAGACACACTGGGAGGCTGCACCCAAAACAAGAAATCCGGCCTCACGTGGTGGGGTGGGAGGTAGTAGGCGTCTCCTGGGAGATCTCCGAGAATCATAGCCAACAGGGGAGTCATCGTCCTCTAGGAAGCCTTGCGGGTGGTGGTAGCCTCGGGGCCTCTCGAAGTCCATGGTGCTGCCTGGGTACCTGTTGTAGTAGCTGTAGTTTTGCCTAGCAGAAAGAAAGGCACAAAGAGAAAGCACATGTGATATTTTGGGCAGTGAACGCTGTCAAAGTCCCCTCATCTCCCTGTACTCAGTAAGACTGGCAGACGAGGTGGGCCTCTGTCATGGAAGATGCCAGCTGAAGAAAAAAGCCCTCTGCACGGCAGCTCAGGACTCCTACAGGCCCATGATGGGCACCTACTGGGGTTTCCCCCATGGCTGGCTAGATGTGGATCACAGGTTGTCTGCTTGAAGGTCCTCCCTCATTTCCATCCAAGACCCCAGACCTAAGAGTCCACCTGTTGCAGGTGGGCAGGCTGGGCACCAGAATGCATGATGCTCAGTTCCCATACCCACAGAGTGTAGAAAATGGCAGGATCACAAAGACTCAGTATAAGCTTTAGAGAAACGAGCCAGGCTGGGAGAGAGGAGCACACATCAGATACCATGAAGACAGCCCATTTGGGGTTCTTCTGATGGAGTACAGGCCCATGAAAGAGGGTGAATGAGGCCAGGAGAGATGGCTACTGACAAGCCCTGAGGGGAACACAGGGCCCATCTGGCTTGGAATCAGCCCTTGGGGAAGTCAGGTGTTTGGGGAGATGGAGGGAAAGACCTGGTGGAGCACAGGTGAGGGTCAGGCTGTGGCTCAGGTACTGGACCTGACCTCAGCACAATCCCAATTCCCACTTCCACAAGCCCCAGGCATGGGGAAATGAAGAGGTGCAGTCTGGGGAAGTGGGCAGCAGACCCCACCCTGCTTGTTGTGTGTCTGGAGCACAGTGTCTTCTTTAGCTACCAATGTGCTTTCTACAGGACCAAACCTGGGAGGGCTGTTGCTCAGGTCTTTTGTCCCCTCATCCTCAGAGACAGAGATCCCCTAAGGAACAGGGGATCACTGTTCCTTGCCTGTTCACTGAGACCCAGGCAAGCCACAGGGCTGGCCAGGCCACTATGCCAACAGAGCCCCAGGATGGAGCACCCAAGCCAGCTAAATAAAAACTCATCTCTCAGAAGCAGGGGTCCAGAGGGCAGGTGTTAACCTAGCCAGGAGCCCTTACTGAAAGGCCCCTGAGGTGTACAGGCCTCTGCTCACCTGCCCACCTGTCGCCCAGTTCTCTTCCCATCTCCTCTGCCTGCCCTTTGGCCTGGAGCTGAGGTTTCTGTTTTACTTCTCAGGGAATCCTGAGTGCAGGGGCAGGAGGGACCGGGTGGTGACAGCTTCCTGTTCTCTGCCCAAGCCAGAGCCCCTCACCTGCTCCAGGTGGGAGAGCTGTCTTCCTCGTAGCACTCTTCACTACTGAAGTACTCCTGCTCCCCAACGCAGCAGGGGTCCCTGAAGTAGCTATGTATCTCTGGATCTTCTCTGCAAATAGTTGGGAACTGCTCATCTCCAGAGTCAGATCTGTAGTTGAGAGAGAGGTCTGAGGGCCTGCGGGGCAGCCCATAGCTTGCAGCCCTGGCTTTTCTCCAGGCTTCTTTACAGGCACACTGGCCTCAAGCAGGGAGGAACAAGCCTCTGGCAAGGGTGCTCCATGTACACGGTCTCCTTCAGTGCCCTGAACAATACTGGGGCTGAATGGCTTGCTCAGGAGCCAAGGCACAGATGTTACATGGAGGACAGACAATAAGACAGATGTGGGACACCACACAATGGTTGGCAGTCTGGCTGGGGGAAGGACCCTGGACTCCCAGGCCATCTATTGTGACTCCCCTGCTCCCATTCCAGCCCAGGGACTTCTGAACCCTGAACAAAGAGGCCTGCTTATGACTGACTTCCCACCACATCAAACCAGAAGAGTGGGCAAGCTTTGGATATGGGAGGCTCTCAAGTACAAGGCCTCACTGCCCCACGCTGTCACATGATCTCCCTGAAACTTGGCTCCTCCCAGCCTCAAGCCTCAAGAGAACAAGCAGACTCAGGAGCATCAGTGCCAAAGAACTGCTGAGCTTCCTTAGACTGCACACTTCCTCATGGCCCTTCCAGGCCCCAGAGCTGGAAATAAAGACCCACGTTTCTCTGCTCTGCTGAAATGATCATTCTGCCCACACACTTGGAATAGAATACACGGCACACAGGGGCAGGGTTACAGAGGCGATGACTTGGGAGATCTGGTGCCTGGTTTTCAGGAGTTTGGGGTCACACTTTTCCTATGCTCACCTCAGAGAGCACCCAGAGCTGCCCAGCCACACAGGCTGTGCCCCCTGGATACACTTAACATGTGCCCACTAATTCTTGGCTGGGAACAGAGGCTATGCAGATACAAATCACCACTTCCAACCCCAGCAGGCAGCCGGGAATATGAAAACCTGCTGGGCTACAGGCCCATGAAGCTGTTCTTACAACTCAGAGGGCCAGTTGGTAACAAAGTAGCACAGTATTTAACACACAAACAAGAGCACATACCTAATGTACGTTTCATAATAGCGGGTTCTATCCAGGAAAGGCACAATGTGAAAAGAAGGGAGAAAATAGTTAAACACCTCTGGCCACATTTAAAAGTTCAGCTATCAGGCAACTTCCTAGAGAGTAAGGGGTGGGCAAATTATGCCATGCTCACTAAATGTGGGCTTTTGTATGGTGCATGAGCCAGGGACAGTTTTTACAGTTTCTATAAAAGGACTGAGAAAAAAGGGAAAGAAAAAAATTCCATCGGCTGTGAACACATTCACATTTTGGCCTCCATGCCTATGGTTTTATACGGGGACACCCGGCACCTGCTCACCTAAGCACAGTCTCAGCTGCACATCTCAGCACAACTGGTGGGATGGGATGGATTTTGTGGGTGCTGCTCTTAAGAGATCACCTCATACAGCAAGTCACAGAATGGCAGATGGGCCCTGTCTTTGGGACCTCACATGGCTCATGTGTGGATAAGCCACAGCTTGGGGAAATGCTCAAAGGTTCTAATACAAACACCCAAAGGAATCTCTGTGTTGAAACGTAGGAGAGAGACGCCTTTCTCCACAGAGCAGTTTTGACACACGTAGATACTATTAGCAGCATCAACACATGTTAAAGTTTACCTTTTAATACTGGACCATCTTTGAGGCTCCCGATCATGCTTGTGGGAGGAATGATGCCCATTTTCAGACACATGCTCAAGATTCCCAATGCTGGGTCGCTTTCCATGGGCAGCTTTGGACATATTGGCATTATTGAGATTGGCATTTGTTGAGGTGGGAACTTGCTTTCCTATGGAATTATGGTTATGATGGTTATGACACACCGAATTTCCTGCTGGAGGAAACAGCGGTTTCTCAGTATCACTTGCAGGTGGAATTGAAGGCCTTTGGACATGCAGGGGACGGTGGGTAGTATTGGTCTGCTGAAGGGAATCTCTCCTATCACTATTAACATGATTGACATGGTTTCCAAGCAGGGCACCATTTCTCTGCAAAATAATGGGAGACAACACCAGGTAATTTAACAAGTATTTGATGCAGGCTAGCTATGTTAGGTAACTTTTTCTACATGAAAAGCAAATTCTAGGTAAGCTGAAAAACAGTCTGTCTCAGTGGTCAGGATAGCATTTGGATCATGTGGCAGGTGGTCCCTCTGACAGGAGGAAGGTTATTGGTTCCTGAGCCAGGGAGCAGGCACTCATCTGTCACTGGAGTGTGCTCTTCCAGTTGCTGCGAGTTGAGGTGGCGAGTGCAGCGGAGGAAGGCATGCTCTCTGCCTCGGGCTAAGGACCCAGGGAAGGAAGGACAGGTGGGCAGCTGCTGGAAGGACCCAGGATGCTCCTCTGAACTGGCCAGTGACTGTGGCCAAGCTCCTCAGCAGCGGACAGCCAGGGGCAAAGGACACTCAGGGAAGGAGCTGGCCTGGCCTAGAAGAGGCACTGCAGAGTGGAGAGAGCCTGTAGATGGGACATAATCTGCCATCCTGCTAACCCCTGCAGCTGGCTTGTGTTCTCCAGACCCTTCTGTGGATCATTAAGTGCCCAACCAGAGCCTGCCCCACTATATCCAGGTGGCCAGTGTGTAGCGAGGCGTGGAATAATTACTTTGAATACATCTTCTTCTTCTCTTTTTGTTTCCTCTGGTTCATCATCTTGCAAATCACAGGATATAGCACGCCGGATTTCTGGCCCAATGTCATGCAGTGTTCTTAATCCTGCCTAGATCAATGAAAATGGCAGAACAGATTAGACAACAGGAGCCCTGGGTTCAGCCTGGAGCTTGGATTTGCTCCTGGCTGATTCATGGGTGGGAGAAGTACTCTCTACAGTCCAATCCAATGGTGGTCTGACCATAATTGAAGGCAGCCTCAGGGGTGCTGGGTGTGGCTGGGGTGTCACAAGGGTCTTAGACTGGAATGCTTCAGGCCTGTTCCTGAGTAACCTCCTCTGCAAATATCCCTGTTTGCTAGTAGGAAGTCTGCCATGGCCAAGGGCATAGGCCTCTGCCTAAATGACAATCTTTGGAAAGGTCCCTGAGCCTCAAGGAGAGGGAGCATAGTGTGGCTATTCTAAAGGGAGGCCGACAAGCACCTCCTACCTTCACCCAGCAGGAGGGGGCCAGAGGAGCAAGCAGACCAGATAATATCACGGTCACTGTCTCATGAAACAAGTGACACAGCACAATGCTATCACAGCACACTTGGACCACAACAGAATGACAGACAGGTACACAGACTGGCAGCTGTGCAGGAGGGCTGCCATGGCTCTGTGCAGTACGCAGCCTGCAGCCTGGCAGCAAGCTGGAGTCTGCCCAGTGAGGGGCCATGCTGCTGAAGACCACGACAAGCCAGTAGGCGGCACATGACCCACTGGGTGATCTGCCAGGCCCCTCACAGGAGCTGTGCATTTCCTCTGAGGCTCTCTCAGCTGGCCTCTCGTACTCCATTCAGATCTTTAGAACAGAGCCTGGGAGAAGCCCTTCCATTGCTCAGACTCACAGCTTTGCTAGGAGAAGTTCTGCAGTGCTGAGAGGCTGCAGCAGGGAAAGGTGCAGTCTCAGCTCTGAGCCCATTAGGCTGCTCTGGCCATGGGTTTGATGAAAATGGCAGGCTGACTTCAAGATTAACGGGGGCTGTTAAACCGCTTTATCCTCTCTCACAAAAGACTTGCATTCAAACAACCCATTCCCCCTCTGTGCCCAGGCCTGTGGCCCTGGATCTAGGCAACACCTCCTCATTTACCAGCGACTCCTCAGCTGCTGAGAACTGGCAGAGCACCTAAGGTGTTGGCTGGGCGGGTCTTCACTGGCAATGTAGCCCCAGTGTCAGGGCAGTTTGCCAACGACAGCTGGTTGCAGACTCCTTGAGGGAAGAGCCCATTTTCCTATCCTTTTCCCTCGGTATCTTATAGAGAGTGGGTGGCTGTGACAAGGACACAGACAAAGCACGATGACCATGCCTGAGGCATCCACGCAGTAGGACAGATGCCTGGCAGTGGTGCACAGCAGGGAAGGGAGGGACGGTGACGCCAGTACTGGCAGGCTGGGCTGCTGGTATGAGCATGCTCAAAATTGATCCTCTGCAGATGCAGACCTAGTGGTGGTAATGCTAATTTAGAATGTAAAACTGTACAGGAACTTCCCGGGGCCCTTTATAAAAATGGCCCTGTTCTTAAGAACACCCACCCTGAGATGATGATAGGCAGAGTCTGCCCCGAACCCTTCTGTAAACAGAACAGCAGGTCTGTGTGTTGCATGAGCTGTGAGGGTGAAAGAGGGGCAAGGAGCCTAAGTGATAAAGTTCCTGGCTAGAAGTAGTATGGTCTTGCAGGAGACAGACAGACACAGACCAGGGTCAAAGCATGTTCGTGGTATGATTCACGAAGCTGCTTCTCATTCTTCTGCCCTGTGATCACAGGCACAAGACACACATAGATACACACATACACACGGGACACACAGAACTTTTCCTCTCCCAGGTTTTCTGAGTCCAGCACACTGGAGCAGGGGAGTCATCTGATTCTGAGGCAGGCTCACATGCCATTCTATGGCAGTGCCACGAAGGGAACTCTAAGTTATGCTGGCAGAAGGTCTCACACAGCCCAGCTGCAGGAACATGAAGAAAGCCTGCTCCCAACAGGACTGATGAGCCCATAATACATTCGTTCAGTTTCCTAGAGTACAATTTTCAAAGGATCGTAAGCTACACGAGGGTTCTGATTTTTGTCTGATTTTGGGTAGACTGGAAAGAAAGGTCTGTTACATATCTGAGGCCCAAACAAGAAGAGACAAGGCTTTAGACTCCCGTTGGTGTCTCCAAAAATAAACCTGGATCACAATGCACTATGGAACGTGTGTTAATCCATGTTAAAAGGCACCAGGGGCCAAGAACACTCCAAGTTTAAACAGTAGACAATCTATTTACTGTCATTCAACTGACTGGACTAGCTCTGATTAAAAGAAATAGAAAACTATTTATTTGGATAATTTTTAACATCATCCTTTGTTGATGGGTTGACATTTCACTGAAATACACATATAACGTAATTGCATAATAAAGCCAAAAAATGTCTCCAGCATGTCTTCAAGTGATACACAAGATTAAGATTCAGTCAACAAGATAGTGCAGCAATCAGAGATGAGACAGAGGAATTGGTTTGCAACATAAATCATGAGGAAGGTTGAAAGGTGGCCCGAGGTACCACTTCCCAAGACAAGTAGCAACATACTCATTAAAAAGACATCCGAGGAGGAAAGAAAGCATCACTCTTCCCAGATACAAAAGCAGAGGTTTAGAAATCATGGTTCTAGTTTGCTTGTTACACGTAGGACAAGCACGCCTGGTAAGAGTCCACACGGACACGGCTCTCATACACCGCCCGCACAGGGCGGAGGACACAGATGTTCCCAAACTAGAATTGAAATTAAGCTGAAGCACAGCACCCTGGATTGATTACATATCACAAAACATGGAAACAAAGTTTTTCTAGCACACATGTCAAGCTAAAAGGTAGCTTAGACTGCTCCAAAAATTCCATAGGCACAAGTTTCAGTTCCAAAAGGTACAAACAACTGACTTAAACCTTTGAAAAAAAATTTGTTCTTTCCCAACCCTAAAAATAACATTTTTTTTCTCACAAAATAAACACTTTACAATCGGTGAAATTATCATTCTTTCATATTTCATGTCTGCGTCTACCTCTGCAAAATATTATTTTGATTTGAAATGTAGTCATCAGCACTTAAACCAACACAAAGCCGTAAAAAGTCATTCCATTAACATCACAGTAGAATTATGGTTTTGAATAAACACAGAATTGCTATAAAATATAAACATTATTGACTTGTTTTAAGATGTCCAATCTTATAAAATATTAAACAGAATCAAGCCTAGGTTCTGGTTGATTTTAAAATGCTAGATGTTATCATAAATATTTATTTAAAAAAGAAATGTTGGCGCTTTGCCTGTAGACTGATGTTTTAAATTTTAGACACCATTTAATTGGAATTTTATAGATATTTACTCTACTCAATGATTAAGTCACCAAAAAGAAATCAAGAAATTCTCTCTAAACATTTCCAAAGCAATGGCATAAAATTATGGCATTTTGACATCAAATATGAACGTTCATTTACCTTTCTCTTGCCCACTGTTAGGGTTAAGCTTCTCCTACCTGCACGCATGTGCAGTGCCTTTTGTCTGTGTCCCTACACTAGCTGTCAGACACAGTAGCAGCCTGCAACTCTCAGCACCACAGTGCAAGTGTGCATACATATGCACACACACACACACACACACACACACACACACACACATACAGGCACATGCATGCACATGCACACACACAGACTGGCCCTGAACCTACACTGTAGCAGTGGAGAAAAGAGAGGCAAGCCTCCAGCTGGGACTGGCCTGGGTCATTCATCTTCAGGATGCAGGCGCCAGGCTCGCGGACTCCAGCCAAAGAGCCTGCTCCCCATCAGCAGGCAGGCTTCACTCAGCCAAGCCCAGCCCTGCAGTCGTCTTGCGAATGACAACTTCTGGTTAACTCTTCCACAGGGGTTGGCCTGCATCCAACTAGTGGGGGACAATTTTAGACCAGCTCCACGAGAGGAAAGAGCTGGAGATTAAATTCTTACAGAATAACCCTGCTCATCCACCAGCTGTCCTCCGCCTTCTCCACACACACAGACACACCCTTTGCTTTCCTCCAGGGAAAATGTCATGGTGTGGCCTTTGTGTCCATTGTGTCAGATATAAAGGTTAGAATCATGGGCACACACTCCATTAGTCATCCACAGTGATTCTGACTCTCACGGAAAAGTCAGTGGTAATACCGCCCCCACGAGTTACCTTGGTACTAACAGCAGTTGGCCGTATGGTTAAGGGATATATAAAAACAAATACATATGTGCAGTTCAGGCTGGTCTTAAAATTCAGTTTGCAGCCCAGGCTGGCCTCAAACTCACAGCAATCTTCCTGCCTTACCCTCCCGAGTGCAGGGATTACAGGCATGCACCACCATGCCTGGCAAAAAGTAAACACAAATATTTAAAGTAACCTATGACTTTCCCTGAAAATGATCTCATGAGAGACCTGTTTCACCTCCTCCCTGGTTTCTCTTCCTCTCTTTCTCCCTGGTGCTGGAACTTAAAGCCAGGGCTCTGAGCACACAATATGAAAGTGCTCTACCACAGAGATGTACCCCATCCCCTGTACTCTTGAGTTTTGGTTGTAATTGTAACAAGAGAATCAGGTCAATTCTTGCCAGTCTCCTGGAAGTGGAGAGAGCAACACATAAAGTTGAGGCTCTGTTGAAGCTGTAAATCACAACTCCATTGTGACAGCACTACACTCCTGTCGTCATGAGCCCATGACTGATATTCTGATAGATCAATCAGGGATGGTGAACCTTTTAAAGCTTTCAAGGATACAAACAGCCCACTGCAGCATGTGTGCCACAGGTTCACTTCCACTGTGCCAGATCCTGGAAGGTCAAGACAATGCCTGTTTGGTTACACTATGTGCCCAAACTAGTGAAAGGCCCAGCAAGGACTAAGGATCACTAAGCCTGCTAATTCCATGATGCTGTGTGAGCAGAACCTCTCCCAAACTCTCACCTTGACCATCACCAAGACACAGTCGCTTGTATCTACTGGGAAAGAGTGTGGGCATGAAAGTCTCAAAGTTATCTGCCTTTTGACTAAATAGAAGTGCTCTTATGTCACTGTATCAGCATGGAAATGACCGATGATCAAGAGTCGTCACTGTAACTTGACCTAGGTTTGGCACAGACTCAGGTGTGCCACTTAGAGAAGATGGTACACGGTTTCTCCTGTGTACTAACTCAGATCACCATTCCTTCAGATGAGCACAGGGCACTGTGCTCACACCGCAGGAACCTCACCGGAACATGGGTGGACACCAGGGCACTGGCAGCCCTGTGTCTGGGTGAGCAGGCTGGAGAGCAGGATCAAGATTCCAGTTAGGGACAGGCCCACCATCCAGGAGTTTCTTGAATACAGAACCACCAAAAGGCTCCAGCATGCTCTGCTTTTTTGTGGGTGTTGGGTTGGATTATTCCCCTAGAGTAGTGGTACTAAGGTATGATTTAGGAGCCTTGAGGTGTCTGAAAGTGTCTTCAGGGTGAGATCACTGTGATTTACATATTTCATGTTCTTTGTCTTGCACACTCTCTCTCACGAAAGCCAGTGAGGTTTTTCGAAGAGGGCACGAGGTGATGATGTTTTTTACCTTGGTGTGTTTGTGCTTGCATATTCTTGTGTTTAAATTTTTTTTTAGTTCCTAAGACACTAAATATAGATATACAAGGGTACTCAAGAATTTTTAAGAATAGAAAAGGGCCTTGAGACCAAAAAGTTTGAGAAATGGTAACCAGCCTATCCTCTAACAGGCGGCACCACCTCGCCCTGGGTACCAGAATCCCTGTTGCCTTTGCCTGTGATTTTGCTGGCCTTTCTCCACTTCAGCCCCTCGTGGCTTCTTTGATGGGCACTGGCACTCCCTGGTGGGTTCTTTACCATGCCTGAGAACTATGTGCCCTATCATACTCCTAACGGGCACTTTTCTTGGGTCTAAAATTGCCAAGGAGAACAAATTTACCAGGCATCTATTTACCTACCCTGGAACTGAACATTTAGCAAGGCCCTTCTTGTAAATAACTGAACCATGATACATCTGGGCTACTGAAGGATGCTAGGTTTATATTATTAAATACTATGTTACAATTAATATTTTACTACTGTATAATTTGCCTTAATTTTTCATTAATTCTACCTTTTCAAAGATTTTTTAAATGTAACAATTATTATTCTCAGAGCAGAATAATCTTTCTATCTCAAGAAAGCATATGAAATATGGATAGTTGTGTGGATTAGTTTTAATTGAATCATACAATAGCATTTGGTACTGTTTGAGTAGTGCCTGCTGCCCAATCTGACTTTTGCTTTCCTGGGACAGCTGTTGGTCTGTGATACTTCTTTCATTCAGGAGCTTAAGAGTTTAGCACCTCGGATTTTGGTGCTGGGTGCAAAGTTTGCTGTGTGTATGCCTGCGAGGATTCTAAATAAACCTGAGCAGTCTTACGATTTCCTCGACATTGGAAGCCAGCTATTCCATCAGAATTTTAAGAGAAATGACACAGGTCTCTCTGCGTCTGTGAACCAGCTTCAGAAAGCCTTGCTCCCTTTGCAGGTGGGAGATGGCGGTAGCCCTATGATTTCTCACTCTTTTTCATGCAGAAGCCTTAGTGATCTGCCAGCCCGTGCTGCTCCTCAACAACACGGCCACGCCCGCGTGGGGCAGGTCCTTTAGGTTCCTTTCCATCATGCCTGACACCCTATCCAGAAAGCTGCCCTTTTCCATCTTTTATTTCTTTGTAAGGTATGCGAGGAAAGCTGAGTGCAACCCCACCTACTGGAACTGTTTAGTTTTTCTGGCATACATGGATCTAGAAACGGTGCTCACACTGGCCCTTGAAGTCAGGTATGAGGACATAGTGTCCTTCACTTTGGACTGGGTCAGAAACAAACACAGCAGTCACTCATCTGTAGGTGGCTCAGCTTCTCCCCTGTGTTTTCAGTACTGGCTGGCTTCCCTTCTGGGAAAAATACAGTGATTATCAACAGATTGTTGAACCCTAACATACCCAGGTGCTGCCCGGTCAGAGCAGAAGTGGGCCTCTGGACCACACCAGGGTCCCAGAAGTCCCCTGCTAGGCCAAGCATTAGCCCTTTGGTTGTTGGATCATTGAGGAGCGTGGAAGAGGAGCCAGGCAGCCGGGATGTGTGCAGGAGATCAGGTGCGCAGGCCCACAGCTGTGGATCCAGGCCTTCGTCACCTCTCCCAAGCAGCCAGCCATAAAGGAGCACGCCACCTGGCCTTCAGCCTAGCACACCCAAGCCCACACATAGAGGGTTGGGCTGGAAGCAGCAAAACTGCTGCTGGGCCTCAGATTCAGCCCTGAGAGGCCATAAAACCAATGGTGAGCTCCTAAACTTGCTACGGTCTATACCCGTGGAGGCAGAGTTGGAGCTGGGCCCCTGCCTGGCCTTCCAGGCTCCCGTCCTGCCAAGGTGCTTGGAGGAAGGAGTGCTTCTGGCAGAGGCAGGGCTGCCCAGAGTCTGATTCTCCCCTCATTCTCTAGCTCACACTCATGTGCACACATACAAACACACACACACACACACACACACACCCTTGCTCTGCTCCACACATACCAGGCCAAGTAAAAGGGGATCGTAAGCCCTTCTTTTCTCTACACAATTCAGAGACTTCAACTTTTTATAATCTTCTTTACAACCTTTGAACTCAGGTTACTCAGTACTGATCTGAAAACTCTCTTTAGCTACACTGAACGTGCTGGGCTTGGCATCAGAGGATGACTCCTTGAGCCCTGCTTGAAATCAGCCCAGAGTGTGAGGTCAGGTACCCTCCCCTACCAATTGCTCAAGCAAAAATCTGCTGTTCTTTCAATGTGAATTAGCTCCACTTACACACTTTGTGCACTGCTTAAGTAGCTTTAAAAGGGGCAAATCCTCTTTTTCAATGGATAACTACAGTACAGAATAGAAAAGAGATAAAAAGAAAATAAGAATTTCTTAAAGTTCTGGTAGTAAACAGGCATATGATATTATTATTGTTGAAGTCTTAATAATAAGCAATTATACGTTCGAAGTGCTTTACAATCACTTAGCTATTCCTCACAACAGCCCTGTGAGGTAGGTCAACATTAGTACCCCCATTTTGCAGATGGGGAAACTGAGGCACAGAGAGGTTAAGAGTCTTGCCCAAGGTCACGCAGCAGTGAACACTGGAGCTGGGATTAGAACCCAGGTTCCCTGATTCCTGGTGTCCTTGAAACTAGACCATACTGCTTCCAAAGAGGCATCCCCAGACTGGCTCTGAGCACGAATTAAAGACGAACAATGTTAGATGAGGTTGGGTATGGTGGCATTTCCCGCGGACACGTTAAGATGGAACCTGAGGTGTTGCCTGGACTGGTTTTGGCATGCGGGTGTATGTTAGTTTCAATGGGTGTATCTGAGATTTCTGGCCTGTCCACTTCTCACTGCATTCTGTACTGGGTCACTGCAGCAGGCCTGGCCAGGCGGTCAGGAGGTCATGACGTTTTGGTATATAAAAGGAACTCTGTCAGCTCAGCGCCAAGGGGCCTGCCAGTCTTTGGGAGTTCGGGCAAACTAGGGACACAGGACTTTGGACCAGTCAGCTGCCCACCTTAGGCAGGTCTGCGTGTTATATATATATGTATTTTTTTTATTTTGTTACTGGCCAGCATCAGAAAGTTGTGTTCAGTTCATTTCTCTGTGGGGCAGCTGCCCCTCTCCTTTGTTCTCTGTCTTTCCCTTTCTCTGAGTCACGGCTTGGAAGGGAAAACTTTTAACACTTGTATGTTCCCTTTCATGAAAAGGAGCCACGTGAGCAGTATCCGCGCCAGGCAGCCATGGCTCCTCGGATGAGCCACGGCCCCGCTCCGCCTTCCAGAGGAGTGCCTTGCTTGGAAGGGGCCTCCCCGGGGCCTTGGGTTTGCTCTTGACTGCATTTCTCCTGAAATGCTGTGTCAGTAGAAATAAGCCCACGTGAGGGTTTGCCCTTCCACGGCCTTAGCCACAAACGCCTTCCGACTAACCAGCGTGGTGCCGTAGCTCAGGGAGAAAACTCTAAAGCATCCGTTCAAGCATCTGAAACAAATGAATCAGCCAGTGAAATCTCATCTGTTAGTATCTCTTCTCCTCTTAGATTAAAAAAGGAAAAAAATGTAAAAAAAAAAATCCTATTCTGGCTTTGGGTGGAATCATGCTTTTAAAAGGGAAAACAGAATCTCACTCCTTTCCAACTAAGGTGACACAAAAACAGGATTCTCCACAGGTGGGCTCTCTGAGAGGATCCCATCTTCTCTTGCCTCTATGCACTGAGCCACACTGGGGATCTACATCAAGACTCACGGCAGATACAGTCGTGCGACTCAGGTTCGCCACCCACATCTCCCCGTAATCCATCTGCTGGCTAGGGCACAGCTATAAAATCATTCACTTAAGAATTCAATTCTGAACAGCCAGAAATAATGTTTTCCATAAACTTAACTTCAAAATAGGTAGAAAAAAAGAGAGAGAGATAAAGTATCCTTCTAGAATTTTCCTATCATTCAGATGGGTGGGCTCTCATTCAGAATGAAGAGCCTTCCTTGGATTCCACCAGAATACAGAAATGCTTTCGTGGTGGAAAAAAAGAGAAATGAACAGAACTGTCCCCGCTCTGGGATCTCTCGTCTTATGGATGGGACATGAGACAGACTAGTGCTTGGAGCTTGCACAGAAGTCCTCCTCTGGAAGGGCGGTAGGTATGTCAGTGGCAGGGGCTGGGTTCTGTGGCTGTGGGGCCGTGTTCCTTTATTTCTCTGCTTCTCGTGGAAACTTGCAGGTCACTGGGATGTAGCAAAATGGATGAAGAGCAAATGCTGGGTCAAACTAAAGGATTATGGTGTGTCGGAGATGAGTGTGAGAATTACAAGGCCGGATGCAGCTTCTCTCTGCCTCCCTCTGGAGAGGGCTGGAGAGAAGGGCGGTTTAATGATGAGGATGGATGGGTGATGGATGGAGATGGCACACTCATTCAGACCGCAGAGGCCAGAAGACATCGGATGCCGAGTTTCTCCCGCCATGTGGAGGCAGGGGCCCCCGAGCCATTCCCCCTTTGTGGAGAAGGCAACGCTGCAGCTGGTCAGAGGGACATCAGATGGAGCCCACAGGGTTCAAACCCATAGCGTGTCTGTGTGCCCTTGGAAGCCCTTCTACGGAATGGGGGTGCAACCGGGGCGGTGCCAAAAGCTGTTCAGGCAGACTGCACTCTGCAGCACAAGCACGCACATCGTGTCTCCCTCCCGCTCACACCGCGATGTCACACCGCACTGCCCATCCGCAATCAGCCTGGAGCTGCGTGGCCCTGTGCCGTGGGAAGAAGCAAGCCATCCCCCTTCTCCACAGGCTTGCCACCCTCAGGAGCTTCCTCAAAGATGTATTTCTTTCCTAGCTGCACCGTCAGCACATTCCTCCTGCTGCTGACCCCATTTCCTTAACTACTACATTGTCAATAATATTTCACCATGCAGAAAGGCAAGCCTCCTCATGCTAATTAAATGTGGAGTAAAAAATCACATTTAAAGTCATTTCCATAGCTGAGAAAGCCAAAAATGTAATTGGAATTATCCTTCAAGGAGACGAATTTTTTCCTAATTGAAATGCTTGTTTCAGAATCAAATGCAATTTCAGAATTTATCTGTCAAGATTATCAATACAACTTAATTTTCTAGGCTATGTATTCAACATAAATTAGAGACTTAGCCTCAATTCCCAATGGAACCATGTGATATTGTGTTGGTATCATTGAACTAGAAATACTTGAATTCCAGCAAGGAAATAAAGTTCTTTCAACAAACAATAAAGTGAAAAATATTTAGGACAAAAAAAAATCCTCAACATTATTTTAACACAGTGTAATAGTCTTTTCCCCATAATCTACAGCTGTAGTGTTAGCACTATTTGAACTGTTAACTTAAAGACATGATAAATTCCATACATCCGACATAGTTACTCAGCCATGTGTTATTTACGCAAATTTAAAAACATCTTATACATATTCATATTCTACAATCACCAGCGAAAGCACTGATGCTACCTAATTGGGACATCTTGGGAGGTCAGGAGGGCTATGAATAACTCTGTCATCCCTGCCCTCCACAGGAAAATGAAGGATCTCATGACACAAAGCTAGGCTAGTTATGATAAACTATGAGGCAAGTCATCAAGGAAAGATACGTTTCCTTCCAGAAAGTCCCACCAACACGGCTCCTAGAATAGCAAGCAGTTCCATCTAAGCCAAGGGCACCCACAGAACTCAGAATCTGGTGGCTTCTTTATATGGGCAGAGGGCTACCTGCAGGAAGAACCTTCAGAAGCATGTTGACCCCTCCCTCTCCTGGTGGTCATGCTCGCCAGGCTGGTCCCAAGAATGTACAAACTCAAAATCTGTTCAAATTTGCAAACATCGTCTTTTCAGTTTGCTTTTCAGTCTAAGGTTATTGTGAATTGCAATCCAGGAGGGAGGCTGTCAGTTTTACAGATCAGATGGACAGAAAGTATAGGAATGTAATTCAAATCCTATGATCTAAGATGACAATGAGCCACCTGACTGCCTCAGGTGAGCTCCTGAAAGGATGTGTAATCAGAGGAAAAAGAAAAAAGGTCAGAAATCATCCTCAGTTGAGTTCATTGTCCATCCCTATGCCTCTTCCCTACCTACTGTGGCTGTCCAGGCAGAATAGGGATTTCACCACAAATCAGCCAGACACGTCACACAAGCCATCTACTGACCTGCCTGATACACATGCACCCCACATGTCTCACTCACTGTCATTCACGTGGATTCTCTCTCCTAGGAAGATCAGGACAGGCCTTGGCTTGTTAGTTACCATCTCTGAACACACAACACCGGGCATTTTCCCTGGAAAAAAGTGAAGGACTATTCCATGTTGAACCATATTAATACCTACGAGGTCACACTTAAGACATGTGACAATGAGGACATAAAAAAGTAATTTGGTATAAACTGAAAAATAAAAGGAAATATTTCTTTATCTCATTCACAACAGATTTGAAACACTCCAGGTAGCAGAAGCGATTGTGATTTATTTCTGATTGCTTGCTGACCTCTGTCGTTCCATTTTTCCTGTTCTGGGTAGATTTCCCCCACCCTCTTTGCTCTGATTTCTCCATCAACGACCACAAACTGTTTTTTCTAGCCTCTTGTCCTACAAGTCTCCACTGAGACCCTTTTCCCTTCCACACACCAGCATCCTGAGACCTAAGGGATTCATTGGGAGTCTATATCCCCCAGATGCATGGACCCTGGCAGGACCAGAGGGTCCTGTAAGCCACAGTTACACTCGGGGGTGGGGGTAGAGGGTGGGAAGCAGGGCAGGGCTTGAGCTGGAGGAGGACAGAGGAGCCGGAGGCTGGCTGGGACATGACAGAACAGCACTCGCACAGCAAGCCTCCCGGCCACCAGGAGACAGCACACAGAGAGACAGACATGCCACCCATGCACACACATGCATACACACACACACACACACACACACACACACACACACACACACCCCACAGGTACATACTAGGAAGTGATGGATGTTACTGAAATGGACCAAAAACCAACAAGCAGTGGGGTGAGAAACAAACAGAAAAGAAACAAAGCACTTGTGTTCAGATGGAAAGCTGTTTTCTGGGCAGCAGACCATGAGCCCAGGGCCGCGGCCAGGTGGGCCTTCCTGGGGGACACTGCCTTTGGAGAGGTCTGGAGGGGTAGGGGCGTGAGGGCAGTGCTTGCTCCTCTCCTGCCCTGGCCATTCTGGGGGTCCTGAACATAGGACAGCCAACATCAGGTGCAAGGCACAATGGAGAAGGCAAAGGAGTGCACTTACCTGGTGGCCCAGAAATAGCCAGTCCACACTTGGGGGAGTGTGCGGTATCTCAGTTTATACAAATCCTTGTGGTACTGCTCAACCATGAACAGCCAGCTCTCTAGTATTTCAAGTAAGTTTGTAACATTGTTAGTGAAAAGAGAAAACAGAACAAGAGAACAATTCACCTGTAGGGCAATTGTGGTGTTCTTCGCAGGGTATTTTCCCACCAGTCCTTGTTCTTTCCGTTTCTTGAATTTCCTAAAGTAGTCCTGTATCAGGAAAGTGGCATAGAACTTCCCCACGGTTACCTCATCATCTAAACGGAGAGACCAGACACACCTCTCCCGAATCAGCACATTTGCACCAAGAGCCTCAACATCTGCTGCTGGCTGGGCAGGGCTGGGGTAGAGCAGAGACGGTACACAAGGCACCAAGCTCTTGGCCTGTAACTCGGGACACTTAATCTAATAAAAAGCAAGGCTTTGCAAAGCTCAAAATTAGTCAGTGAAATGAACTGACACTCAAAGTTGCGGAAAGTAATATGCATGTGTGGTAGACAGAGTGAGGTATTAGTAACACTATGAAATGTTACCTGGTTATTTACTTAAAATAAAAAAAATTACAAAAAAAGTTTTCAGGGGTGATGTTCACCCGTGCATAGAAATTTGCATGTGTAATTACCAGAAACATCAAGGACAATTAAACATCCAAATCCCTATGTCTCAAGATAGATACCTAGAAAGGTGACATAAAAGCTCAGAGGGAAAGGAAAATTCAGAAGAGTGACTGCAGATCCAGATTCTCCCAAATTTCCCCAATAAGCTCCACAGGCTTAGTTTTGTGTTCAGAATTAGTGGTTTTCTGCACTGCAGTGACAGCTCCAACTAACTGCGAAGTTGAGCTGGGTTTATTTCTGCTTTGTTCAGAAACAACCTCCACTGTGTCTCACTGGGGAGTCAGAACTCTGCTGACGGCTAAAGGCGATGCATGAGGCAGAATAGAGGCTCTGGCTGTCCCGTGGTAAACTACATCTGAGATGTCCGTGTCTCCTAGAGGTGCTGACACCAGATCCCCAAGGTTCTGAGGTCTCTGGGTGGAAAGCTCAAGGCCACCCTGGCAGCCAGGGGTCAAGGACTACTGAATTGGATTTGAAGATGCTGGGAAGAAAGGCTGTAGACTTGCAGGCTTCTAGCCATACCGCCCCAACAAGGGTCATATGCTGAACAGGGCAAGGGACTCAGCTAGTTCCCGCTTGCATTCTTATTTGTAAAGTAAGGACCAGTCTCCTAGAGGAACCACGGAGATGTGTGTGAGAGAAGACACACAAAGCACTCAGCCCCTGGGCTGAGCTATCCTCAGTGCCAAGCACTACATGACTCAAACCAAGAGAGAGTCTGTTATTTTATAACCTGCCGACAGCAGCAGCCATGAAAAGGATACAAAGGCAGGACAGGCTGGGCACCACTGGTACCCACCGTTTTCACCAATGAATCCTGGATGAGCTTGCTTTAGCTTTCCTCTTAAACTAAGAAAGTCCTGCAGGGGTGCAGAGGTCACCAGTATTAACCTAAGGCTCTGCATCACAGGTAAACACATGGCACCCATCAGTCTCAGGCTGGTCTAAACTGTCTATAGATGCACTGTCCACAGCCAGGTACAAGTTCATCCCCTGAGCTGCTCTCCAGCCTCTGCCCATCTGGCCAGGGTGTATTCAGAACTATCAGTATTGGCTATCTCTCATGACTGGGCATCTATGGGTGTCAAGTGTCAGAGACATTCATGTGGGTCTCATGGCCTCTTCACAACTCTGACACAGTTTATCTGCTCATCCCCTGAGTGACAAAGAGAGTTTAAATGACTTTCCCAGGTTGGCTGAGCCAGGTCACTTGGTCTCCTTGTGCCCAGGGTCCTCTCCTCATCTGTACACCTCTCTATGGACAATGCAGCTCCAGCCACACTGGCCACTTGCTTCTTTGGAGCTGTCACTGCCTTTCCTAGGTGACCCACAGGAAGCAGGCCAGCTACTGCCTGATGAGTACATTCAGGGGCCCAGGGAGATTCTCCACTGCTGTGTCATGGCTGTCTTCCATGCTCCAGGCTTCCCTGTGGGGTCCCCAGAAGAAGCACCAGCTCTTTCTGCAGAAGGCCCACCTTCTTCCATACCAGGACGCTTCCAGTAAATATAGGCCTAATTTTCACCTTCCTTCAGCCTCTCCAGCAGAGCCAGGCCCACCCAAAGCTCTTCAGGGTAGGACTCAAGGGTCAGCTGTCTCCACTCAGAAGCTGAGGTAGTTCGAAGACTGGGCCCAAAGAAGAGCTTTTAGGACAAGAAAAGCCAAAGCTCTAGCAGAACAATAAAGGAAAGAAGAAAAGCAGCAACTGTGGTGCAGCCATCTGGGCTCAAAATTAAAGAGAGATGGGGTCAGCTCAGAGTGCCAAGGAGCCAAAGATCCAGCTCAAGGAATGATGACCCAAAGGCAGAAAGGCCTTTCAAGAGAGGGAGCTTTTAAAGAGGAAAGGAACAGTCTGTGCCATTGCAGAGGACACTGCAGACAGGTGAGAGCCTGAACTGAGCTGAGACAGCACTGCTGACCAAGGAGTTGTCAGGCTGCCCTTGTAGCCAAAAGCTGCTGGGCCGCTGAAGTGGAGAAGAAAGCTCCCAACACAGTCTTCAGCTGAGACTACTTTTTCATCAAGCTCGAGAAGACCTGGTGACATCTCCTAGCACATCCCCATCAGCAGTCAGCACCCCTTTCTGCTCTGCATCAGGACCATGGCGGGGGGCTTCCTAAGCACCCCATACTTGCCAGTCCCTGGCAACCAGGGACAAAGGCTGGACTTGCTATTTCTACTGACCCCTGACCAGGTTACAGGGGGTGGGGCACTGAAGCCCTCAGTCTCTGGGGCTTCCATCTATTTGCCAGAGGGATGTACGAAGAATGTAATCATGTTCTAAACACGTGAGTGATGCAGGAAAGATTGGGAATACTGGTCCGCCGGAAGATAAAACAGGAAAAACAAAGAGACAAATGATACAGATAACAAAACTATCTGAAACTGCTCCCTGAAGCCTCAGTGTCACTTTTTTCCAACATCAGTAGCAACAGCAGTAACCTGAAACTCAATCTGGAGCAGTGCTCCCCTCTCCCCTATATAAATACTGTACGCTGAGCTTCTGGGACATGTTTCCTTCTCAGATCCCAATCCTTCTCAGGTTTCACAGTACCTCTTGCAGCCACCCTGGTACAGATGAACTCCTATCATCCTAAACGCAGATCCATGTTAAGAAACAGAAAAGGCCAAGAAGCCCCCTTTTGGTCCAAGAGAGTGACGAGAATATTTAGCCTGTACAAGAAGTTTGGTAGAGCTAAAAGTTTCAAAGGAAAGGTGTTTGGATAGCCAACTTCGGGACTTTTTGTCCAGTAAAATGAGAAGAAATCAAGTTTCACAGTAGTGCAAATGACATTCTCCAAGTGCATCTTACGATGGGCATTAATATGAGAGTTAGCCTGGCCAGATGAAAGGCAGGGTTCTTGGGCTCATGGGAGGGAGGTTTCCAGGGACAGGTACAGCCTGCTATTCTGAAGCATGCATCTGTATTTCAAGAAACATTGTAGGGGAATATAGCTGATGAGAGATAACTCTGATTCCATGCCACCACCCTAAAACAGAATTGCTTCAGAATATTCTGAAAGACTGAGAGTTGAAAGGAATGGACGCTGCAGAAAAAGCTCAAGCACATTGTTACAACAATTTTAAAAAGCAGTTCCTTTAAGCCATGCAAGCACCTGGACGTGCAGCTGAAAGAAAAGAATGGAAACCAAAGAAGAGTTTTAAACGTGCAGTATCAGGTTTCTGTAGGGAACAGGGGTTCTCTAAGCGGGAGCTTTGTTTGGTTCTCCTTTATCATTTTTTTCTGAGTCATTTTCTCCCAGCTTTGACCTGGGTGGCTCACTTCGCCGTGAAAGTGGATGCTGCTTCCTGTCCTGCTTCCTGCCAAGGAGCAGAGCTAGCTAACTTGCAGCTCTCTCTAGCCCCTTGGAGCCCCAGGTTGTCACCTTCGAAGAATGCGAGCCCAGTGTCCTGGACTGGGCTCCGGAATCAGCTTCCAGACCTGAGCGGGACCAGCCTCGGAAGCTTCAGGAGCAGTGACACTATAAAATTTCCACTGGTTACAAAAGTCACCAAAATGCTTTTTTGTCTCTGGGCAAAGGATGGAGGGCCTAATGTGCTGCTGGGGTGGCCCTGGATGAACAGATTCTGCACCTTTAAAACCCGAAAACAAGATAGTCTGAAAACAACCTCAACTTCTGTGTGTATTTAAACAGAAATGGAAAAAAAAATGTGTGCATATATATATATATATATAAATATATCACATATGTTATATATATATATATATATTCAAAAAGGTTTAGTCAGTTAATTTGTGATAAATAACAAAAGGAAAATAAGCATACTTTGTTAGTTCTGTCTCTACTCTAAATTCTGCCTTCTTAAAAAGACACATTTGGTAAGAAATCCAGCCTTCATAAGAACGTTTCTAAATTACCACTTTCTGAAAACCATTTTTCATGAGAAGTTTCCAACAAAATGTTGAAGTATAGTTGGAAACTAGTTTCAAGCATTTCTTTTTGGACTAAAAATGTAGGACTTTTGTTCTGCAGCAGTAATCTTGTTCTCTAACATTAATTTCTCTAATATTACTTTCTCATTAATATCTCTACCCCCTACTCTGGCCATGTGAAACTAGGTTCCCTCCTCACAGAAGCCTTTCTTTACCTGAAGGGGCTTCATCTTACCCCGAAATGACCCTTTCGGCTGTTGGCCTAACTCTGATACAGAAAGCACTCTGCAAACACTCTCTAGGCTTTCTGGAGAGGCTGTCACTAAAACCAACACTGTAGCCAAGAGCTCATTAGGAAACAGATGACACTGACCACCAGCGGGAGGGACAACTTGGTCAAGTAGCTTCATGCTGGTTTTCTTCCAGATTTTCTTTATCACAGCTCGTAGTTCTTCATTAGCTTGTTCCAGGTTCCCTGAATTCAAAAAGCAAAAGAGGGTAACAAGCCTTGCTTCTGTCCCTCAGCTCCCTCTCCCCTGCCTGCCTCGAGGAGCACACTGCCCACTGATGGGGCTCCCCTCCTACTGGGCTGTCCCCAGTCAAGGCGACTCTTCCTATTTCACCAGTAGTCACCTTGTTAAAAGGCTACTCTTTTACATCTCTTTAAATTTAAAAAAAAAAGGCTACTCTTAGTTCACCTAATTTGAAGTCCCTCCATTGTGGGGACATTCACGTTTCACTCCAGAATTCAAGACTCTGACCCTATCCTGCCCTCCCACAGCCAAGACTAACTCCCTCCCCACTGCATCCAGCCCAGAAGGTTTTCTCTTCTTTGCTGCTGTTCCCAATCCTACTGCCAACCTTGGGGTTCCATCCTAAACCCCACCCAAGTAATCTCCCAATTCCTACTGTAAGTTCCCACTCATTCATGCCACATAACCTTGGCTTTCCCTATTTGGTCTAATGCTTGTCTTGTCATCCAACATGTCTGTATATAAGACCATCCTGACCTCTAGAACCCTTACTGATGCCATCCTGTAGCCAGGAACAGATAAGCAAGCCATGAAAGGCACATGATAGATTGTAAGAGAAGGGCTTTTCTGGACAGAGGTTTGGGGTGGTGAAAAACACCTGCCCCATGGCGTGGCATGGTTCTTTTCTTCTCTCCTCCATTTCCTCACTTCCTGCTCACTCCACAGCGTGGTGTGATCTGTTTTGCAGTCCATCTCTGAAGAAGCCACTGAGCCACGCTCAGAGCACATACTCCAGTGCCTGTTTTACTTGGTGGAGGCAGAGCTCAGCATGGCGTAAAGGTGAGGGCCCAACAGGGAAGACACTGATCCTACCAGTGCTTTTCAAGTGCTGCCTCTATGCACTCTTCACGCACAGGGGCTTCTGAGAACCACCTCACTCTTCAGATCTTCCTTGCTTAGGTGTTTAGTTTCTTTTCACAGAGAAAGAGCCATAGTGTAGAATAGCGAATTTCCTCACTGATGGTCACACATAGTAAAGGGTAGCGGGAGTGAATCCATTTGTGATAGCTCTGCCTCTACCCTGATACTATTTTTCCTGCTAGGTGGCAAGCAGTGGATAAACCAGTTCATTATAGGACAAAGTGAGGCTTCAAGAAAGGACAGAAAGCATGTAGGAGGAGGGGTTGCTCAGTGGCTCTGGAAAAGATTTTCACTGCACTCGTCACCCCCTTCCCATCGTCCCACCTTCACCAAGACAAAGGCCAGGCAGGAGAACCAAGGAGGGAGGTCGAGTTTCCTCCTTCCACCACCTGCCCGCCTGCAGGGAACACTCACCCTCAGTCTTGATCTTGAGAGCTGTTCGGACCAAAGCGAACAGGGTCGCATTAAACATGACTGTCCCATCACTGTTGAGAGGCATGTTCATGGCAACTAATCTCTGTGGATGGAAAGAAAAGTTCCATAAAAGAACAAAAATGCTTCATGACATCCAAATCCCTTTTTGATGTTTATTCTCACCCAGTTTCCAGTCAACCATCAACTCACTCAGAGCCATTTGGGAGCACCTTTATGACGGTCACCTCTATGTGCCAACCAGACTGGATCATGAGATACACAGATGCTCAGTTAAACATCATTGTAAGTGTGTCTGTGAGGGTGTTCTACCAGAAAGTAGTATGTGAATCGCTGGATCCCTGTTCAGCGCGGGAAGGTAGCCATCATCCAAACAGTGAGGACCCAAAAGAACGAAGGGTGCAAGGAGGTTGTATTCTCTCTTTGCCTGCCAGCTCCAGCCGGGACAGCTGTCTTTCCTGCTCTCAGACTGAAACTTATACCACTGGCTTCCCTGGGTCTCAGGCCTTCAGATTTAGACTCAGCTACACCACCAGCTCCCCTATGTCTCCAGTTTGCAGAGACAGACAACAAGACTTGGCAGCCTCCACAATCGTGGGGGTCCATTCCTCATAATGAATCCCTTTCTGCATGTATATATATACATGTGTCTCTGTGTGACTCTCTATAAAGAGTTACATGTTCAATAGAGAGGTAGGCAGACAGCCAGCCAGAGAGAGACAGACAGGTAGATACAGCTGTGAGTTGTCTCTGGAGATTCCTGAATGATGGTTTATCCTCTGTACGGGATCTGGGATGACAAAGATCAAAACTATTGTCATGAAGTATAAACGCTGACACTCAGACTCTGTGTTCTGTTTGCTAAACAACAGAAGCTCATCATTTGGCATTCTTCTTCCTTTCCTCTTTATAGCTCTCTTTGTGTCTTGGGTGGGACTCCATTCCAGGTACATCCTTAACGTTCTTTGATTAGCAGCTACGCAGGTCAGGCAAGGCCTGGGCCTTAGGTTTTAACTAAGAGTGTCCACTGTTAGTTCCACCACAGGGACCGCCTTCACTATCATGCAGGGATTTTATACAAGTTTACAAGGCTTCTCCAAGGACTGCAAGGTCTTTCAGCGCAGGATCCACACTCCCAACTTCTCAAATCTTTTCAGATCCTTGCAATGCCAAGCAGTGAGGAGAGCTGGGCGGGACTCAAGCGTGGGCTGCCCTCTCTGGGTCCCAGTCATCTTGCCTGGGACAAAGTGAGGCTGACAGAAGAGATGCAGCAGGACGGGGTAGTCAGCTGCTCTGGCAGAGAATCCTGAATGCAGGTGACACGTTCAAGTGGGTCATCCTTGAGGAAATTTAAAGGAAATTGTGGGCACTAAGATTTTTGTGCCTGGAACATGATAATTCCTAAATAAATGGTGACATTTTTAATGTTTTAAAACTTAAATATTTTTAAATTTAAATGTTTAAATGTAAATATTTAGAAGTACTTACCACTTTTCAAAGTATTTAAATTTAAAAATTTATTTATATATTGGTACTGGAGATTGAACTCATGAACTCATGACTTCACGCTTGCAGACAGGCACTTGTGCCACTGAGCTACATCCTCAGTCCAAATTTAAATATTTAAACATTTTTATTTAAATTTTAATATTTTAAAGTTTAATATTTAAAAATTTTTGACTACAGTGTATCCCAAAAGAAAATTTCCTTCTATTTAGGGACTAGTATTTGATGTTTGCATGGCCAATTCCACCTAATTTCCTAGTCCTATCACTAACCTTCCCTGTCTGCAAAAGTGTTGCAGGCAGCCAGGACACTGCAGAGACTTACTCATTTTTCAGAAAGTTCCTGAGCCAGCAAAATGAATAACTCTATACCTTGAGCATGCTTACATCCTTTATATAAAAGGCCCTAGAAATCAAATGCCAGACAATGTCTACAAACAGAACCTCTGTTGATCTTGGCGAGCAGAAAGGGCCTGCTTACAGGGTCATTCGTAACAAGAAAGCCAAGCTCTGTGGTTTATCTTCTGCTCCTATCTCCAGAATTTTGGCTGAGAAACAAGGACTCCAGGACTTGCCAATGTGCCTTGATCCTGATGGCAGGGACATGAGTACAGCCTTCGGAAGCACCAACACAGCGTACACTTTGCTCTGTTACCTGTTTCTGTTGACAGCTGACCCAGCACCCTGGAGTGGTAAACCTTGACCTTAGGATCTGCAGATCCACAGGGAGCTATGCAGACTGCTATAAGGACTGCTACAAGGAAGAATTTCAACAGATAATCTGCATTTCTTCCTGTTGTTACCATGGACTTAAGGTGGTTTATTCTATGAGAGGAAAACAAACCTCAACTAGAGTTCCAGAGAGCACAGTCCCGTGTGGAAGTGACAGAAATGAGGTGGGAGATCAGCATCCATGCCTGCTGCCCAGGAGAGGCACCCCATGGTGGCCATGAAGCTCTACAGCAGGGTGCTCTGTGCAGCTCCTGGCATCATATCCATCCACACCCATGCCCAGAAGCAGGCTCCACTTCCATGGTCCTTTCCACAGCAAGCCCGGAGTGGCCCTCTCCACATTCTTAGCAGGTCGGGGAGCCGCCCTCATTCTAGAGATCCTGGTTGGCCCCCTCCTGCCATCTGCTTCTCTACACCATCAGATTCAACTGTATAGAAAGTAAACTGGAAGTTCACTTTTCTCCTGCATCTCTCCCCGTTATCCATGGAACACAGCGTGGTACAGATCACTCCTCGCAGCAAGACGAAGCTTATGTCTGGGACCTTCTGCCACTTCTTAGGTATTTTGGCCGATTGGTGACGCAAGGACTTGCCGATGGCCACTCTGATGTCCATTCTCCTGCTCTGTCGGGGCTCTCTATGCTCCCTTCCCGCAATGTCCTTCTTGCCTCTAAGAGACTTTTACATCTCTTCTGGACTCAACTCAAAAGCCACCCCCGACTCTCTACCCAGTCTGTCCTCCTCTTACGGCTTTTCCCAGGGTTCTCTCAGAGTTACAGATCTGAGAGTAGCTCAAGGGCTGGCACCATGCATTATTCAATTCCTGTCCACAGCACCTCCCAGAAGGCCTGCCCAAGGGTCACTCAGTGTGTGCTGAATGAGCCCCTGCTAGAGAGCTTGTGAGACACAAAACGCTCACCTTACATGCTACTCTGTGTGGGCATAATTTCCCAAAGCCCAGAGGAGGCTGGATGCGTCGGAGCAGGGTGACCACGTCGAGGTGTTTTATCCTTCCCCTGAAAGCAAAGCACAGCCTGAAGTCTCGGAACAGCGCTGGCTGGCCTGAGCCTTCAGTCCACCTTGCCTTCCAGAATAATGGTGGCTGACTGCAGCACAGCCCGCACAAGCTGGACGGGCTCTTTTTCAACTTACTTTGCCTCAGGGTCATATTCTGACCATATTCTTTTGAATTCATCTAAGTGATGAGGCCCTAGAATAGACCAGTCCCGGGTCAGATAGTCAAAATTGTCCATGATGACAGCCACAAATAGATTGATGATCTGAAAAAGCAAATCAGAAAGAGAGCTTTGGCTGCTGTGGGATGCACTGGTTAAACACTACTGCATGCCTCCTAATCTTTCTCTCTCTCTTTCTTTCTGTCTCACACACATACACGCACATTTTTTTTTTTTTTTGGCAGTGTTGGAGAACTGGAGAATTTTCCTGCACTATATTCCCAGCCCTTTATTCTGAGACAGGGTCTTGGCTCAAACTTGTGATCCTCCTGCCTCTGCCTTCCAGAGTGCTTAGTTATAGACATGCACCACCACACCTGGCTGGCCATGAGATATTTGAACTTGAACATCTCCAAGTGGGGCTGTTGAAACAACATTCCATTTGGAGAATGCTTACAAAAAGGTCAGGCTTCCTGCTTTCCTAGACGGCTTGGTATAGTCTTGGAAGGGAGTGGGCACATGTATTAGCTACATTCTGGAATGAAATCTTATCATTTTACTGCCACGACATAACTCACACTCTTAAGTCACTTAACACCAAGTTCAGTGCTGCAGTCTTGAAATTTAAAAAGAAGCCAGCAGCACCAAGAGGCTGGGGTGGCTGATAGTTTCCCCAGGCTATTAGCACTGACCCTTGACCCCAACCAAGGTGGCAGAGACACACATGTGACTAAACAAGATCTTCACTGCCACTTCACTGAGATCCAGATATAACAAGTATCCAGGGCAATCTGAACAGGGAACGTTACTGGTCTGAACTCCAAATGCTACACACATACTGTAAATGAAAAAGCGAGCTTTCGCCTGCCTACCAGAAATGCGCAGAGCATGTAAAAGCTGATGAAATAGACGATGGCAAAGTTGCTGCCACACGTGTATTCCTCTCCGGGATTGTAATCGGACTCAGGGTCACACAGTTTTCCTGGGAGGCAGGCCAGCATGATCTCCTGCCAGGCCTCACCAGTAGCACACCTTTGGGATCAAGAAAAGGCAAAGCTTTAGTGAAAGAAGAAAGGATTTCAGGGTGAGACCTCTGGGAGGAAAACTCTGAATCCGAGCAAAAACTAAGCAATCTGGGTGAAGCCAATCTGAATTAGTAAAAACCTGAAACTCCTTACTTTCAAATGCAGCTTATCTCAGTGGCCAGAGGTCCTCCCACAACACTCTCTGATTTTAACAACCATTTGGTAGAAGCACAGCAATTCTTTGGTACAAATGGATGTTCTTCTATCTATTCTACATCAGACATTCATTTTATAATATTTTGATAATTACTTCTACTTAATTTTATTCAATGCAAATAGCTGAAAATCATGTAATGTGCAAATGACTTGCCACCTAGTGACTGGACTCATTAGAAATTACACTCATAATTTCCAGACAATTCTCTCACCATAAGCCAACTTGTTTACAAAGTTAATTAGCTGAGGTTAAAAATAATCCCATAAAATTTGGAATTCTACATTTTAGGATATTCCCTACTGGTTGTAGAAAAAGTCTCTACACTCCTGCTAAATTTCTCTTCTCCTGGTTGTGTTGTGGTATGTACTTTTGTGCATACACATTCATTCTACAACTTCACCAGTGGTCCCATTAGCCTTTCCAACTCCCAAATGAATAAATTTTAAGCAGCCACAATCAGGGTGACCCCTAGCAACTTTAGCAATTCAGCAAAGAATCTTCAGTGCTCAAATTCTAGGTTTCAGTCTAAGACTGCAAAACAAATAAACAAAACAACATAACACAATAACTGAGAAAGGCACACTGATTTGATACACAGGTCCCCTGTCAGCCTGGACTCATGGTGAGGGACAGAGTGGTAGCTCCTGCCCAGGAGCACTGCTCACACAGACTCAGTCACCTGAAGAGCAGCAGCACCGCCTGGGGAAACGTCTGGAAGTTGTTGTTCCTATTGATCTGGTTATTATCTCTCATGGCGACTTTCCCAAACATCTAGGTGGAAAAGTTATTAGAAAAAAGAGAACAAGTTTTGTCATTTCTACAGTCTAGGTCTGGAACAGATGCCCCAAAAGCCCACACATTGAAGGCTTGGTCCCAGGGTGGTGCTGTTGGTAGGTGGTAGAGCCATTAGGAGGTCCTAGGGTCACTGGGGATGTGTCCTCCAAGGTAACAGTGGCACCCTGGCCCCTCTTCTTTATCTGTTGCTTCCTGGCCACGAGGTAAGTAATTCTATTCCATCACATACTCTGCCAGGATGTGTTGCATTAGGCTCAAAACAGAGGGGACAATCAGTCATGGACTAGAACCTCCACACTATGAGCCAAAGGAAACCTTCCCCCTTTAAGCTTAGGGTTAATTAAGACTAAGATGATTACCTCGGGCATTTTAGTATAGTGACAGAAAGCTAATGCAGCCACACAAGAAAACCACTCATGTGGGTTTAGAACTAACTGAGGTATGATCCACACTACCCACGGATTTGCTCAGGATATGTGACACTTCATTTAATAAACAGCAGCTGAGCACACTCACGTGCCAGGCATGAGGTTGACAACTTGGAACATGGTAGCAGGTATATTTTCACTTTCAAGGGGTCTTTGCTCTGGAGCAAGAACACAAAGATAACAAGGCAATGGCAATTTCATAGGATGGGCAGTGGGAGGCCAGGACCCACAGGGATGTAGGGAACAGGCTCATCAACCTGAAGCTAGGAGCTGGGGTCAGGATCAACCTCCAGGGGAAGTGACATCTATGTCAGGAATTGAAGCATACGGAGAGGTCATTCAGGTGACAAGGAAGGCGAGGAGTGCTGCAGGCAGTGGGAATGCCACCTGCAAAGGAGCAGAGGCGACACAGCACAGGTGTCCTGGGGAATGCAAAGATGAGTGGAAAGCAGATGGATGGAAAGTCAGATTGGAGCCGATGGTGGGGTCAGCGGGTGGGGCCTGTGAGCCTCCTGAGGGAAAGTGGGCTTCACCTCTGGAGAAGTGGGATTCAGCAAGTAGGTGGACACTGAAGCAAAGTTTGATGCCAGGCAGATGCCTGCTTGGAGGACCTGGGGTGAGGTATGCAACTGTGCAGTGTGGTTTGAAGGGCTCTGCGATGCCTTTCTTACGTGAGAACATGTTCTACCAAGCATCACATTCTGCTCACTTACAAGGGCCTGGGCCTAATGCCTCTTGTTCCATACCTTCTGTTATGATTCCAAGAGACCTGCAAGAACTTCTAGGCCTTCAAAATAAAAACTAAACACAAGCATCTCTTCCATGATTCACTTTACCTTTCTCACACATGACCCTTGCTTATCCAAAGGACGCATCCACACAAGTGGAGTCTACAAGGTGCTCACCCTGGAAGTGAGAGCTCTGCTCTGCAGACTGCTCTGTCCATGGAGGCTGCCACCTCAGTCCCTAGCTGTCCGCATGGGGTTAAGACCCAGTGATGAATGAGGCTCCGTCCCTTTCCAGCCTCAAAGGGACTGGAAAGCCTCCTGCAGCCTTTCAGTCCCCAGATCAGGGCCATAAAAGAACCTCGCTCTGTGCCTGTCTACAAAGGCAAGCTGCTGAGGTACTAGAGTGGTCCTTGTTCAGGTCTAACACAGCATCTAGAAACATTTTCTTTCAAAGGAGAACCCCACCTCTGGTAAGACCTAATTCTTCCGTCCACCAACAAGTCATTGCATTACTCAGTATTTCTGAGTATCGTTAGTACAGGAAATACAATGCCCACACTGATAACTACGGCTTCCGTTAATAAGGCACTTCCTTTTCTGTTGGGCTATTATTCACACCACCACTCGAATCAATTGTGGATCTTTCCCGAGGCTCAGATGTGGGGAGCAGTACGGCATGACACACACGTTTCACATTTCCTCGGTGCATCTTAACTAGTCCATGTTTCCTGAGCCTGGTCTCCCCTGGTGCAGGCTCTGTCCTTGGGCGCTCTCACCTGAAGGGCCATGTCTTCACCTCCCTCTCTCTCCAGCAGCCAAGGCAGTTGGCTGAAAAATCGCAACTCTGACTTTCTACTTTACCTGGTTAATGTACATCTTGCCAGATTTGGGGGCCACCCTCCAAGGGAGTAGCAGAGGAGAAGGCGGCCAGTGCTTACCTGCATGCCGATGACTGCATAGATGAAGAATAGCATGGCGATGAGGAGGGCAACGTATGGGAGGGCCTACAAGAGAAAAAGCATGGGCTCAGCCGGGACGCCTGTCCTTGCACCTACTCGGCACAGATGGAGGCCACCCTCGCAGAAGCCACACATTCCTTTTCTTTTGCACATGTTACAGGGAAGGGACAGAGAGACTGAGGAAGACTCTTAATCCCAGCCCAGCATGATTACTTCAGTCCTGTGCATCCATCTACAGGATGCCCAGAGCCACCACGTCACAGGCAGCATGTGGTGGGTCCACATCGCATGCTAATCCTACAGTTCCACATGGCCATGCTGCTCTCAGGTTGAGTTACAAGTCTGATATGGGAATCCCTTGTGAAATTATAACTGACTAAATCATTCTGAAACACTGGCATGATTGAAGTGGGTGCAAGGGAGATGCTGTAGATCACGCTGTGGAGAAACATCCTTATGCAAAACCACTCTTAGGTGGTAAGAACCACTGTCTGGCTATTGTAAAACATCTTTCTTTTTTTCTTTACATAGGGTCTCACTATACAGACTTCAGGGTGGCCACGAAATCACCACGTAGCCCAGACTGGCCTTGAACTCATGGTGATCCTTCTGCCTCAGCTTCCCAAGTGCTAGGATTACAGGTGTTTACCACCATGCCCAGTTTAAAACACCTTTCCTAAACTGGACACCTTTTCAAAGGACTGCACAGGCTGAGGGGTGGGCCAGGGAAGAGATGTACCCTGGGCTGTCTGTATGAACTCTCAATGTAAGACCCCAGCCCTTTAATCCAATTTCCTCTGAAGCTTTTCTCCCTCACTCCATGCCACATGCGTGGCACACATCCACAGGTGCCAGGCGTCAGCCGTAGTTCCAAGCACCCATACTTTAAGCATCCCCTTTCTCTCCCAATTCAAGAAAGTTCGCCAGGAACTCAATGGCCTGCAGACTGACAGGCCACCTTCAGACCTGTGCATCTGTGGATCTGTTAAAACAGCCTGGCCTGCTACAGGAGGACCATCTCCTCCTCCTGAACTGCTTAATGGGGTCCCACGTGGTAAGTTTTAGGCTCTCCCCACTGCCTGGTAGCTTCACTTTCTTCTTACATTATCAAATGTTTAAAATTTTTGGTGGCACAATCACTGACCTACACATGATCTTCAAAGACACAGAGAGAAGCCCTGGGCACAACTCTTACCTGGAAGGACTTAATAAAAGTCCACAGCAGCGTCCGGATGCCTTCCCCCCTGCTGAGAAGCTTCACCAATCGCATCACTCGGAAAAGACGGAAAAAGGTGATGGAGATTCTATTGCTCTCTTCAGAGTTCTGAAGGGTTATCATGGAGAGGTCAAACCCAATGGAAAGCAGAACATGCAACACTTTCAGAAAAACAGCAATAGATGCAAAGGTGACAGAAACTGAAGATGTGTGTCTAGGCCTTTTCACCTTGAAAAGCATGACATGAAAGAAAAAGTTACATGCTAACAACACAGGGCTTGGAAAACTGCGCCCACACAGCACATGCATGTCCACGTGTTCTACTGTGTTAGAGAAGAACGCTGGGCTGGTCAAGAGTACTGGACATTGATGATGAATGCAAACCACTGCAGACACTGTTCTGGAAGGACAACCACAGAGAATACAGAAAACCAGTGGAAAACTCCACATGGCCAAATAAACTCAAGGAAAAGGCCCAGCCCCTGGGGACTAGTTTCTGATCTTACCCCGGGTGTAGCAGTTGGGACAGGGATATTGTCACTTTCAGTTGGCTTTAAGGAATCAAAGATTGAAAAATGTATTAATGAAGCAGGAAACAGGAGTTCAAGAGAACATTCCCCCCTTCTGAAAACGTGGGGTCAGTGTCTTTGAACAACATGCCTGCTCCCTCCCTGGAGCCACTCCAGGACTCTAACTGGAGTTGGACTCGAGGGTGGGCAGATACATTACTACTTTCTGATTCACTGCTGGGCATCTGGTAGAACACTGCAGACCTTGGGTGTCTCTAAAGACCAAGCACAGAGTGTGCTTCTGCTTCTCTAGGCTCAGTCAGGGGAGCCTGTGGTGACCCTGCTAACCAAACTGACAGAATTTCAGCTGCAGGCAACAGCTGCCCTGCCTGCACTCCACACCCCTCAGGGGATCACGTGTTCCTGTGACACTAGACATCTCTAGGACCTGAATAGCTATGTCAGTGGGGGAAGGAAAGACTGGCTCCTCTCCAAAAGCCTGTGCTGCCTGACCTCCGGGCCAGCCCACATCAGCTGTCAGGAGACTGGGGCTTGGTGCCATGGGGAGGAAACGGCATGGGACCAGCTTGCCCTGGGCCTCAGCAGTTCCGCCTTATTCAAGGTCTGCCTGGGTGTGTGCTGCCCAGGCCCTGGGATGCTCACCTGTCTTCATCCTTGCCCCTCGGAGGGCAAGGGACCTTGCTTCACTCTGCTTGGTGCCTAGCACAGCATCTAATTGGTGCTCAGTGTCTCAGAGAACATAGAGACGCTGGCGGCAAACTCTCACCAGGAGGTATCTTTAGACAGTAAAGTGAACCCAAGCTGGGACATGGTAGCCTCTCTTTCCCTTGCAAACTGCCACCTCCCCTGCAGCAGTTGGTCTCCCTGGGAAGTGTCTGAGAAGAAAGGGGCTCATCGGGCTAGAGGCTTCCAAAAGGATTTCCTCTAGGGTAAGTCTGTAAGACTGAGGGGTGTCTCACATTGCTTGATGACTTTCTTCTCTGGGGACAAAAGGACAAGAAAGGCCCTGTTCTGAAGCCTCATTGTCACCAAAAGCTACCTCCTGAGACCAAACAGAAAATTCTATACAACTCAGAAAATAAGGGTTTTGTGCACATCAGAGAACTGAAAACTCAGCCACACGACTCTGAACTTAGGAAGAGCAGGTCCTAGTAGTTACAGAGGGCTTCCTGCTCCCCCATGGGTGCTCAGAATGGGAACTCTGCCACGGGCTTATCAAAGCCCACGGTCGCTGTTTTTATTTTCCTCTTCCATTACCCCACTTCAAAAGGAAAAAACAAAAAAATAAAAACAAAAAACAAAACAAAAAAAACCCCGGGCCTTTAAAGGTGCAAATCATGGCTTTAACATTTCAACCTATCAAAGGGACTGGCTTTCTAAAGTTCTAATTGTATCCCACATCATTCTCCCTTGGAGCTGCGTAGAGGGAGGCTCGACTCTTGCCCCTGCAGCTGAGTGCACAAGTGGTTTCGGGCTATAGGCGCCCTTTGCCTGTGCGTGCAGGAACCATCAGACTGCAATGCCTGAGATGTCTGTGACGTGGGACCTGCAAGAGCGCAGGAGGCCTTTTGGCTGGGAAGACGCATTTTCTGGCCTCCGTCTTCGGCCCACCTCCCACCTCCTGCTCCATGACAGACTATTCGGGATCCCTCTCCTTCCAGTGTATGAAACCAGCAGCCAAACTGACTTTCAAAGTGTCCATTTTTTAAACTGCATCTCTGTAATATGACAAATCAGACTGTGAAATCCAAAGAGGAGGAGGAGGGGGTAGCATTTGTTGGGGACAAGGCAGCATGACATGCAAGAAAAGGAGGAAAGCACCAACAGCACGCCATGCTGCATGCATGCCGAGTGTGGCCTGTGACACCAGCCCTTCACCACGCGCCAGTGGGTGGTGACTGCTCTGAGGGAGGATGATGCTGGCATCGCTGGGGGACAGTGCAAGCTGCAAAGATCTCTTCTGAACTGGAAGGACCCTGAGGATGGCTTTGCCCAAACTACACATCAGCCCGATAGAGGGCAGGGCCGCTTGCTTCCTGGGCTGCACAATGAAACCTCCTGGGGGTCCTTGGGGGTCACAGTTTTTTGGGGGGTGGTGGTACCAGGGATTGAACTCATGACCTTGTGCTTACCAGGCAGGCACGTAAGCCACTGAGCTAAATCCCTGGCTTCTCCTGGGGGTCCTTAACAGAGTCTGATGCTCAGACCTCACCCAAAGGTTATTTTATAACCGATTTGGGATGTGCTGGCACTCTGCAAATTTAAAAGCTTTCAGAGGATTCTAATGTGCTTTTAGAGCACAAAATTTCAGTCTTGCTTAGCTCACAGTAAACCTAGGCTGAGTACTCAGCTGGTCTCGAATTCCAGCAGAGTGCTCGTCAGAGTACCTCACACCTTAGTGGTGGTTTCTTTCGGAGTTGATGGGGGTTCACCTCCGTCCCCAAGTCTCTTACAAGGCACAGAGGTTGTTTGGGAATGAAGGCAGCTGGTGGAGGGCAGAGATGGAACCCAGTGAGCTGACACAGTGGTCACCCACAAGTCACCCTGAGGGGACATTACATAAAAGGACTTGATCCCTAAGTAGCTTTTCAAAAATGGCCTCATTTTTGGGTCACTGGGTGATCTAATTCCAATCAGGAGAATCCCACTGTCATCTCAGGACTTGGGAACAGATGGCCTCAGTAGATCCTTCATCAGGCCGTGTGCCTGGGCCTGGTTCTAGGTAAGGTTGGCCCGCGGGGCTGAGGCCTGAAACCAGGGGTCCAGAACAAGCAGTGGAGAGACGCTACAGTGGCTGGGTCTAACTTGGGACTCCTAAGGCAGGGAGAAGCCTTATGTCATGAGAGTGAACCCTTGCTGACCTTTTATGTGCTCTTTGAGAAGCAATAACAAGGTAGCCCTGGTATTCAAGTAAACGTGCTGCCTCCTGGTAATGAAGACAATGAGGCTAAGGTCAGCAATGCCAGCTGTGGTCAGAGAGACAGTTCATAGGTCATTTCGCCATTGCGAAAGCAAATGGGCAAAGGAGGGAGCAGAGGTGAGCCTACCAGTCACCATCCACTCCTTCAGCACACTGGTGATGCTCTGCCCAAATGTGAAGGGAACAAGGCCATGGGGGCCATCAAATCATGAACAGGCAGGACAGGGGACACAGAGGGCAGCATGATGGCAAGGGCTGGGTGAGCATGCAAGCGGGACAATTCACAGGGCCATCCAAAATGTTTTGTGTTTTGCTTTGCTTTTAAGACAGAGTCTTACTACGTAGATCAGGCTGGCCTTGAACTCACTATGTAGCCCAGGCTGGCCTTGAACTCATGGTAATCCTCCTGCCTCAGCCTTCTGAGTGCTGGGATGACAGGCGTGAGCCACCATGCCTGGCTTATGTGTTCTGCAAAGAAAAAAATGCAAGCTGAATTTCTTATTTCCAGGCCAAATAATTCCTTTTGGAAGACTGTTGGCAAGCCACAAAGCCAAGAATGACTGACCAAGGAGGTCCGAGGTCAGGCCCCAACTAGATGAGTGAGAAGGGAAACAGTTTAGATGGCCACAATCAATCCTCAGCACATCCTGTGAAAAACAGTGAAAACCAAATGTGGGAGACCAAAACAAATAGTCTCCAAAGTGCATTTGCTTTAACAACATCACCGTATATATGTTTATATATACTTGCCGCTACAATTTTCTAAAAATAAAACCAACATGAAAATCAATTAGGCAACAGAAAAGAAAGATCAACAGATTTTGAGGGGAGAGAGCAAAGCAGATTAAACATTGCAAAAAAAAAAAAAAAAAAAAAAAAAAGGATTGTACAGCAGCTAACACCAGCCAACAAGAAACATAGGTGCTCATGCTTGACTGACCTGAAAGCTTTCAGGACAAGGCTTCCAGGAATGAGACATGCATTGTTCACATGGGGAATTCCACGTGTGTGGAAAAGAGCGGGGTAGGAATCGACAGTTCCCCTCTGATGTGTTTATGCCATCAGAGGCCAAGAACATCCAGCCTTCATTTTCTCAGTTTTTGGGTATCCCCAGGGCTGAGCCCAGGGCCTACCAGTGGTGGCTGCCCAGTGAACATGTATTGAAATTGGAATACCTGAGAAGATGGTCTCGGTCACTGCCTCTGCCCCTGGGCCCAGCAGAGAAACAGGGAGGTTTCCTCAAGAGGTACTTTATTTACTGGCCCACAGCCATAGCTTTTGCTCTCAGGATACAGGTGAGCAGAGAGAAGCTCATTGACTAAAAGCAGGACACGGGAATGCTCACTGGTGTGATGCTGAGGGGTCACTTGGCTGCTATGAAAGGGCCCCAGGAAAGCTTGCCTTGTACGGATACCCTGTACTACGCTCAAGACAGACCTGGTCCCTTCCTGATACTCAGTGAACTAGGATACACCAAGCCACTGTCAGGCAAGGCTGGGCCAAAGGGGATGGCTGCACTGGGAGGCACAGGGCTAGCGCTCAGCCCCTGGGCAGTAGCCAGGAAGTAAGTGCCGCCCTGCATGCGCCAGTGCCACCCTGCCAGCCAGCAGTGGGGCAGCGTGAGAATGCTGGATGTCCACTTGGTAAACCAACCTTGATCATATCCCTACCCAGAAACTAAGGATTTATACCCTCTAGCTGCCCATTTCTTCAAGAACTGAGTGGTCCAAGGAGACCCATTGGGATGGCAGCTATTGTACCTTCATTTCCGTCACATGCTGTCTCTGATCTAGACTTTTCATGCAAGTATTCTTTGATGTATCTGGTTGATCAGGCTATTATCTCAGAAGAGTTAGGGTCCTGCTGTACCAGATTATTTTACATATCATGAATAGCAAAATTACAGCTGCTTTATGGACTATTTTGACATGAAGTAGAAATTCTGTAAGTCTAGGCTCAAGGAGGCTGGGGGATGAGTGTCTGCAGGCCTAGTACAACACCATGTTAGTATCTTGTCATGGCATGGATTTGCATGTGACAAGCTTTAAGTCACACCTCATGGACACGGGAGCATCTTACTGTCCATGTTGCTGGTTCAGTGGAAAACCTGTATGTGCAGGAAGATTGCACCTCCCTGAAGCTCTGGTTTTTGCAAGCATTTTCACAAATATTCATATCATCTTATTCCTCTAATACAAGTCAGGAGAGCTAAGACTGCCAGTCTTGAGATTGCCCCATTTCTTGTCCTCCTATTCCCATTTCAGAATCAGCCTGGCTCTCTTACAGGGCTTGAAGGGATTCCACGATGGCCATCTGGTATGTGCTGACTGGGCACCAGGATGGACCTAACAATCTCAGCCCCACAGATGTCAGGCGGGTAGAACACTAAGGTGGGGGCAGGCTGGACTGGTAACACAGAGCAGAAGCCAGGATCACTCAGCAAACCCTCTCCATGCTCTGCCCTCCACTCAAAGGGCATATGTGCTGGAGACCCTGAAGAGCTACTGTGGACTGGGGTCAGAGCAGGTGGACAGGGACCATTCTGCCTGCCTCAGGTCTTCTGTCAAGCACAGGTCAGGCAAGAGTACGGGCAGGAGGTAAGCCTCCTTCTGAAGCCTCTGCATTCTGAAGGGGTTCTCAGGCTGCTTGTGGAGTGGTTTGCTCCACCTACCATGCTGCTAAACACAAGCCCCTTTATCATGGCTCAACTACATGTTACAGAGCCACATGGTCTTCTTGATATACTCTGGGCCCTGCTTCCTCTGTTCACATGGGCCCCGCCCTTTGAGGGGCTACTGGATGTTCACCAGTGTCACCAGCCAGACTCAGAGCCGATTGAGGATACAGAGGAAGACCTGAGGAGTGGCAGCAGCCATATGCTTAGGCCCAGCTGTGGTGGCTCCCTCCTACACCTCCCAGAATCATTGTGGGTGCAGAGGTCCACATTATTAACTCATTTCTACGGCTGGAAAAGCAGAGGCACAAAGCAGTCAGGTGACTGGCAAAGGTCACACTGCTGGAGGAGGATAGTGTTCGTATACTCACACAATTAAGTCCTGGCTCCTAAAACTTTAATATGATCATTAAAACACTAATTCCAAAATGGCAATTCTATGTTTACTTCCCCACTTCTTTAGGGTAAAGGAGTGGACAAGAGGTGAGTGAGGGATGAGAGGCTAGAAATTGTCCATCTCTTAAAAGGAATTTGTATCTGGGTTTTTAAGGAGTAAAAGACAGTCATTGGTGGGACTTCTAATCTCTTCTACAACAGGCTTAATGAAAACAATCACAGTAGAGGACACAAAGTTTGCTACTTACATTCACTTCAGTTATAGCAATATCAACGACGCTACCAACAACAATTAAGGCATCAAAAGTGTTCCATGCATCAGTGAAATAGTGCTGTTAGGGCAAGCATTCAGAAGCCACAGAGGAGAGGACGCACAACAGGAAAAAAGAAGAGAAGGACAGTGTTATCAAAGGAGAACATTCTAGCATTATGCCACTCAGCTACTTGAAAAATGGCCCTAAGACAAGTATGTCATAGATAATTACTTCAGGTATTACATGTGACGCAGCAAGTAAAAATAATTAGAGATGCCCTGTCTTACCTTGCCCCCTAGTTCCTGGGGTCAGTGCTGCCAGAAAGCCAGCACTCAAAAGCGATTTGCGTCTACACAGGCCTCGGGCCAAGGCCCTACACTCAAAGGTCCTACACTCAAAGGTCCTTCCCCCCAGCTTTCCTTAGGAAATGCCTAGTTTCAGACCAAGTGCCAGGGATCTGTGACTTGTCCAGGTGATGCCACTGCAGTTTAGGGAGCAGAATGTGCAGACAGAGGAAAGAGGATGCAGGCTATGCCAGGTGCATACTCACGTCTGCTTCACTGAGGGCCACGTCAATAATGCTGCCGATTACGATGAGGGAGTCAAACGTGTTCCAGGCGTCACTAAAATACCCCTGAACAGAGCAGGTGGGGCAGATGTTTATGAGAAGGCATGAATGAAACATTGCACGGATCATACGGGGACATATCTGAGTCCCTGCAGCACCCATGGCAACCAGATGGGGTGGGAAAGCCAGAGGGGAGGCAACAATACTGTCCATTGGTGGAAAGGGGCACAGGGGCCAGCTGTCGACTTTGGTGTGACAGAGTACACACGTGACAGAATGGGTGTGCACGCATGCACGCACACACGCATATACACACACAACACAGATCCAAGGCTCTGAGCAGTTACAGGTAACCCCGGCCTAGCACCCAGTGTGCTGATCCAAATCCTCACCAGGCTCTCCGACTCCAAAGGTCCCAATCACCCACTCACTTCTCCTCTGCCCCTTAAAGAGCACTGCCAGCAGGCAGTTCACACCTCTTCATTTCTGGGGCCCTTCCAGCAGACCCTTCCCTCTCCTGCTTCATCAGTCCAGCAAGTATTTCAAAGGCTTGGCCTTGTGTCAGGATGACAAGACAAGGCCTTGCCTACAAAGAGCTCTTACTGTGATGGACACAGAGAGGCAGTTAAAGGCAATGTGTGTGTATCTCGTGGCACAGCACTGTGGCTATGGTAGTGGGGGCCCAGGGCAGAGAACTGAGGCAGGTTCTACAGAGCAAGAAGTACTGAAGGACAGAGGATGCTCAAAGGCTCCCCCTGTCCTTGAGAGAAGCCCTGGCCCACAGGCTCTTTCTCCCACCTCAATTCTCGCCTTTCCCTTCTCTCTCATTCCTCCAGGGCCAGAGGACTCCCCTCTGTCTCCTCAACACTTGAGCAGGTTCTCCTCTGTCTCTGGGTGCCTTTGCAAGCCTACCCCCTCCACACCACCCCATCTCTCCCTGCTCCTCCTCCTCCAAGGTCAGGTCAGTGACAGACTTTATGCTCGCTCTCCAGTACGCTGTCTGGAGCTCACTTATGTCTTGGTCCCTGCAGGTCCACCATACTGAAAGTACTCTGAGGAGGGGACTGCACAACTTACTCTGTTCCCACTTTCAGCAAACCAACATCTGGCCCAGAGCCCTGAGTCCAGTTAATGCTTGGCACAGAGTGAAACATCTTTATTCATGTGTACCCTCCTGGTCGCCTGGCTTTTCCTGGTCCTTTTTGGACCCCTGTATCTTGCACCAGTCCTAATGTGCAACATCCTCACATGAGAGCCCTGAGATTCTTTAGTCCTGCCATACATTTTATACCTCTTGGGCCTGGCACAGCCAGTGTGAACCTAACACTGTGGGTAGGAGGAGGATGGCACACAGTGCCAGGAGGCTTCTGGTTGCCAAGGACAGACTGTCAAGGTCAATGACTGTCTATAAGCCAACTGCTTCTTGTCAAAAAGTCAAAGCACGTTTTGGAAATAAAAAACCAGGTCTGAGTTACATAAAGAGGAGCCCAGCATGCTTAAAATTGGGTACATTTAGTGTCATATTAAGAAAACCAGGACAGGAGGTACTTTGAAGTGTCAAATCCTGGAAACTAGTGATCAAATGCAGGCCTAGAAGGAGGCACCACAGAACTACAGCCTCTTGTGATGCTATAGAAAATGTAGAAGTGTTGACTGTCTTCATAACTGGATGAGAGATGTTCATTCTACTCACTGTGGATCATTTGTGGATCGTTTTCTCCTATCGATTGGGAATTATTACACTCTGACCTGTATTGTTTTAATTTCTTGCCAAATAACATAAGAGTCCCCCTCCAGCTGTGTGGTTTCTGACCACTCTGCCTCTCTCCCGACAATCATCACACTAGCTTCTCACTGATGGCTGCTCCCCCAAACCCGCTCTCAGCAGCCTAAGAAGGTACCAAAAGGCTTCAGCATACACAGAATCTGATGATCTGAGTATGAACGTCTAACAAGAAGCTGTAAAAACTATCATTTACAAGGGGTTAAGACGGTCTTGCACGTTCCCTCACAAACGGATTCCTGGTTGGCAGAAGTGATGGAAGACGGGCATCTCTGCCGTCTGAACTCATGACATCTGAGGTGGGTCAGATGTTGGATAAAGATCGAGCACCTGGATGTAAAGTAGCACAGCCCTTCCTTCCCCTGGTGAGCAGGTCCACTGCATTAGGTTGAGCCTTGGTGTTGCCGCTGATGCTCTGCGAGTGTGTTGGGTCCTCCAAGATCACTCATATTACAGTAAACGAGTAACAAACAGTTCTGACAGGCAGCAGTGCACAGACTACACTGAGAGGCAGAATCTGCTCCTATCTTTGTAGACTTATGAGCAACTCAGAAGCTAATAGGAACAGGGGATCCTCTCCTCTCTTAGGAAGAAGGCTTATGCTGCGATCTAATTCTTCATCAGGACTGACCACTAGACCTCCAGAAGACTCACGGAGCAGTAAAGACCACACATCCTTCCTATCCTCTAATGTGACCCTACCTGTACCATACCCTTCGTGTCTCTCCTGTCATTTCATGGATTCACTAGTTGCCAGACCCAGCACGTGTGCAGGGGACATCAGCCCTTCACTCATCTTGGATTTTACTCCTAATACCCCTTCTCTTAATGATCAGTGTAAGTAAGCTATTCTCTGCTGAGGCAATCCTGGAGCACGGTTGTGGGTAAAATCCTTTGGAACTAACCTTACTGGGGTTTAACAGAAATTTTGGAAATCTTACTATCTGTTTGCCTGTATCCCCCTCTCCATCCCTGTGCTCCCCTTCCTCTCTCAGAAATCGCTCACACTCACAAAATAGTGCCAAAACCCTAACAGTTCCTGGACCAAAAGTTGTCATCCCTCATCTAGGTGGCAGGAGGCTTGACTTGGTGCAGGTGGCTGGAATCAAAGGCTCTGACCAGGTGGCTCTGACAGGAGTCCAGGGGAGGCAGAAAATGCCAGCCCTCCCTTTCTTCCCACATACTGTTTCCCCATTTAGCAGCCTCCTGTTTAATAAAACCACTGTCAAGGGAGCATGACTCAGGCCTCACCCTTTCCTCACCGATGGTACAGTATGTAGCAGCCGGGTAACCACAAGACAGGACACGGGCTCTGACCACATCTCCAACCTCTTCTCCTCGCTGAGGACAGCACGCTGAGGACAGATGGACTCGGAAGCAGAACCAGCAATCAAATCAAATCAATCAATCTAGCTAGCTAGCTAACTTTTCTTTTTTAAAGACCAAACGAGTCAGCCCCATGGAACAACACTGATTATCCAGAAACATTCTGACTCTGAATGTTTAAAGTTATAAACCAGACTCAGAGTCTCTCGCCAGATGTTTTGTTACTCTAAGAGCCTTCTGACTGGCCGCCCATGTGTCTCTTGCCCAGTGGTGGCCTCCAGGAAGGCAGAGCCTTGGCTTTCACTATTCCTCTATTTGGACGTGGCCCAGGGTAAGGGGCAATGTGTACAGAATGGATGCAAATGGAAAAAAGAAAAACAGCCCAAGTCTAACTTCTTTTTCCTGCTTTGATTCACTGTCATCCTCAGGTCTGAAGAATCTTACAGAATTGATGTGCTTTTGTCCTGTGTCACGGCAGCCAGGTCACTTATCAGCTTGTAGCAAGGACTGTTTGGGCAGTGCTTGGTCTAAGGGATGATCCACAGTGTCAATTTTGGTTAGACTATTACCTGACAGCTTTTTGACTAGTGTAAGAGTACCTAACGGTGAATAGGGGCTTGGAGGAAACATATGCACTCTGCTCTACCCTCATATCCCGTGACAGAAAAACAAGTACCATCATATGGTGAGGTGCACTTACAGGCTCATCCTCAGCCCACCAGTCTTTACTACGGAACCACCAATACCTTGTAAAGACTTTCCTTCTGAATCTCCCTCCTTGAAGTGTGAAAATTCACTGGACAGTTCTCATAGCTTCTGCTGGGAGCATTGGAGGTAAAGGCCAGGGAAACAGGGTTTGTCTTTTTACCTAAATTGTGAATTACAGCCTATCTTGGAAAATCCTATATGAACACCTAATCCTAACTGACTGCACCTCTGGAGCTCCTCTGGGAAAGGGAAAGAAACTTCTCCAAGGGAAATCATGTTGTTTGATCAATTTTGCAGGTCTGTATCTGGTAACTTGAGCAACTATTTTAAAGATAACAATATATAATATAACAACCATTGTTAAATTCCCATTATCTTATTTTGAAATCCTGTATCACTATTTTTTTGTTGTTGTCACTGTTTGGCCTTTGTTGTTTTTTTGTTTGTTTCACTGCTTTTCAATTTTTTTGTGTGCTTTTCTTTACAATAAAAAAAAAATCCTATGGCTGCATGAGGGACCCCCAGTTGAACGCGCAGTGAAGAGTACACCAGGCTAACACCGAGTGGTGAACTGTCCCCCAGTACTCAACATAATAAACAGCCCACTGGCCTTGCCCTAATCCTTCTGCTCTCCCCATGAAGCCTGCCCTCCCCATGACGAGAGACTGCCTCCCCACTGTGGAAGCCCCAGGGCCAGGTTTCTTACCTCTGCCTCCTCCCCAACCTTCCTGTTTGCAGGTACTGGGGAACCTCACCCCACATGCCTGCACCATTCCCTCTAAATATGCTCTCTATTATGACAGCACTATTTCTCAGTCAGATTCTCCTATGCACCAAAGTCCCCAGGAGCAAGAATCTCCAATCTTTAAACTCTTGCTTCCTGAAGATGCCTTCTCACCTGCCAGTAAGATTTGCCTAATTTCACTTTGTTTCGTGTAGCAGCTGAAACTGCCACCTCTCTTAACAGAGAAGACATTGAGTCTTCCTAGAAGGTGTACCCACAGTGGCCAGGGTCCTGATAATAGAATTCCTCGGAAGAAATACAGACTCTCCTGAGCTGAGGCTAATGTCCATCTCCTTGGAACACCTGTTCTTCTGCAGACTTGACAACATCTCTCCTCAGCCTGATCAGCCCACTAGACTATGACAGAAGGCACCCCAGTGGCTTCTCCGTGAAAGACCGTTCTTGCCTGGGCATGAATTATGAATACCAAAAATTTAAAAATGAAAGAAAATCTAGAAAAATTTCAAGAAGAGCTTTGATTCTTGGGGAACTCACTCTTTTTTGCACACCCAGAAACTTAGTAATACAAAACCTATTTTCCCTGGAATGGGTGAGCATATGGACAGTGCTCTTTAAATGCAGAAGTATAGAACTTTTATTTTAAAAGTTCTCTCAATTATAATGAGGTCATCTTAGGCTATGAAAATATCTTACTAGCAAAAGAAAGAAGCATCACAGTATCTGGCGGAAACCACCCATTTAAAAACTCTGATCTTTCAGTACTGATTATAAATTAGCAACTGATTTCTACTTGGTGTCACTCATCTCTTCACACGCCACTGAGCTCTCCTCCCTTGGAGGTTTACTGAGCAGCATGCTCTAAGTTATCAGTGCACTGGCCTACTGGAGGATGTACCCGCAGATACGCATGCACGTATGCACACATAAACACATGCCCACATACACACGCTAATGCATACGAACACCAAAATCACATGAATCAGGCACAAAGGCTCATGTACACATACACGCTCACAGAAGACATATGCTTTCACGCTCACACATTGAGTGTGACTTTCTCCTCAGCCTGGAATGAACTTTGAAAACTGCAGAGCTTAACTGCCAGGCAAAGAAAGCCAGGGCACAGGGAATCTAGGAAATGTTTGATAGGCGTGTTCCATGCGCCTTCTTCACATGCCTTTCATATCTTATTCTGCCACCTTTTCCATCAGCTCAGACAAATATTGCTCAGAGAAGTAAAAGTAAGAAGGAAACAAACCAAAGTCTCAGAGGAAATTAAGATGGATTTGGAGAAGGAGGGATGCTTATGTCTGCAGATATGGACAAGTCACAGGAGGAACATTTGGCCATGCACAAAGTGCCAAATTGGGCCCCACTGCAATCACCCCAATTAATCACTTACAAATGTCCTTTCTTTTTGGTCCACAAAGATCTGATACAGATTGCATAGAAATTAATTCAAATTAAAGAAAGGAATAATTTGGAATTAGAATTTTGTATAATTATAGAGTATATGAAACCATCCATTTCTTAACCTAGGCCTTATGTACATTAGTGCTGTTTGATACCTTGCATGCAGATTAAAACCTGGGCTCTGCTCCCCTCCTACTTGAAGACTTTGGGTCTGCGCTAGGAAGGAGATGAGGCTGAGTGCCCACAGGTCGGTTAGGCTGGGCCTCTCTGTCTAGGGTTGTAGGATGACAGGATGTCACTGCTTGATGATGACAGCAGTGGGAGTAGGAACAGTGGCAGCAGCTGGTAGTCCACAGCATGGTTCCACACCCCAGCCACTCTGTGAAGCACCCACTACAGCACGACAATTTTGCACTCTTCAGAGCAGCCCCAGGAAAGAGGAGCATCAGTATCCTCCCACTGTGGATGAGGGAACTGAGGCACAGGGCAGTGAAGTCATTTTCTTAAGCTAGTGCGCAGTGGAATGAAGGACCTCGTCAGTCCAGTCTAGAATTACACACTTCAACACTGCACTGCACTGCCTGTTATACCACAGCCGTGGACAGCATGGGGCTTGATTTACTCCCGAAGGAGAAACACTGCACTAAGTCCTCAAAATAGCTTTGATTTGATTTCCTAAATTCAAGTAAAAATTTTCTAAGTCAAAACATACTATGACTGTGAGAGGACTGAGACTGGTATTAGAACTTCCCGCTGAAGGTGAAAAGGATGCTGCAAGACCAGGAAAAAACAAAAACCACAGCCTCCATGCTAGCAATCTGAAAGAAAAATCAAGGTCAAGCTTCTTCTGATGGCTGTCAGAATATGTCCCACAGTGCTCAATGAGGCAGGTTTTCCTGAGATGGCATAATACATGCTATTTTAGAAACAAAATCAGGTTTCAAAACAATCTTCAGTCTACAGATTCTTGCTTCTCACTTTTTTTCTCTTAGAATTGTTTTCATGAGCTTTTGTTTTTGTAGTTTTATTTTCCAATGCGCACACCTAATGCCCTAATCAGATTTTAATGTTATCAGATGGTAACCGAGTCAGCAGCCTGAACAATGCAGCCTAATTCAGCAGCACAAGGTGAACAGGAAGTGGGTGCTTCTCTGAAGTGATTCAGCAGCAGCTTTTGCAAACAGGCCTCAGCAACTTACCTTAGGCTTAAATGCAATGACTTTCAAAACCATTTCCACAGTGAACACCCCAGTGAAGACCATGTTCAGAATGTCCATGGCATCATTGAACATCTTGGACTGCTCATAGTGCTATGGATAGAGTCAGAGACACAGTTTTCAGAGACTCGGCCACCATCTCAGTCCTCACAGATGGCTCTCCAGCCCTTTGTAATGTTATAGGCTCGCTCCGGAGTCTAACAGCACCACCTCCCAAATGCATCACATCATGAGCTCCCACAAAGCACAGGGGCTGTGACAAGATGAGGATGACTGAATGACAGGGGAGGGGGAACATATCTACTTGCTAAGCACAAGATAAGGGGGTTCACCCTTCTTTTGTGGCAGAGCTTAATGTCAGGCCCTCAACTAAAGCACGGTGCAGATACCACCAAAATGTCTACAAATAAAGGGAGCATTCAGTGAGGGATGAATTTTATGCCATTTAGGGATATGTTTAATAGAAGACGGTGTTACCTTGACTTTGAATTTTTCCATAGAGCACAGGGTTCTTTTCACACATAAAGAATCATTAAATGAAGAAAAGTGCCAGGTACCTTATCTTTGACTACCGTTAGGCCCATTTTCCAGACAGCACTGAGAGCTTTTACAGTATAGGCAAAAATCTACATCTATCTAGATTTTGGTCTCTGTTTCCTGTCCCAGTTTGATATCTGGTCATCATTGTAACTTCTGAAAACCTTCACTGTTGATACCACATTGTATTCTACCTTGGCTAAATCAAGAGGGTTGCATGACTTGCCTCTGACGTCACCAAGAAATAACTGGAGTACTTGAGGTCAAACCCAGTACTTCCTGAACTCCCATTCCAGGAGCCCCTTGAAGACAGGAATATGACACAGGTTTTGCTTCTGAACATTGGGTGTGATGGTGTAGTGGGCCCAGGGCAAAGGCCTGACACTAACAGTGTAGCATAAATCTTATCTCTGAGATAGGTGTAGTCGACTGTCCCACTGTACTCATGATGGAAGTAAGGTTCAGGGGATTTCAATAATTTTCCAAGGCCACCCAGCAGGAAAGAAGCAATGCCAGGATGGAAGTGCCCACCTGAGGAACCCCAGAGCTTTGGTCCTGGCCCACTCTCTGGCCTCAGAAGGCTCATGTGGAGCTGAGTGCCACAGGCAGGCTCTGTGGAAATGTTACCTGCCACCATGCTGTACAGACAGTCTCAACCAAATAAGCAACTTAAACTGTAACAACCATCAGCCAGACAATAACAGCAGAGAGTCAAACCCATCCTCTCACGAGGGGGCTGCACTCTACCCTCAGAAGCTGGTATTTGGGGCTGTACAGAATGCCCACACTTGGTCTCCACAGCTGTGTCCATTTTTACCTGCATGGCCAAGCAGAGTGTGTTGAGCATGATGAGGACAAACATCATGTATTCGAAAGGCGAAGAGTTCACCACGTACCAGAACTTGTACTGGTAGGGGTTTTTGGGGATGTATCTCCGCAAGGGACGTGCTTTCAAGGCGTATTCAACACACTGACGCTGCAACGGCAGAAAACGGCAAATGCTGGGGTGCTGAGCACTGCTAGGCAAGGAGCACACAGTGTCATCTGCTTTGTAAGACATCACTCCAGCCCTCTAGGAAGGGAGCAGGGACAATGGTGAAAATGACCCAAGCCAGCACCATGGAGTTACGGAAAGGGCCAACCTCCACTGCTGTCTGCTCCTCTCAGCCACCTCAAGGGGAAGCAGAGCACCCATTCCGCTTGCTATAAAGGGCAGCGCAGTTTGTGCTGCCTTTGCTGAAGTCCTGCAAGGTGCACACAATCAGCGGAAAGACTGGGCCTAGGCCTTACCACTGCCTTTCCTCTCAGCCAGGTGATGGGGCAGGTCTCCAGGTCCCTGTGCTGTGCTCTGGGAGAAGAAGCCCACTGCCAACAGGCCTAAAGTCTCTAAGAAGCAGAGGGGTTGTGTTCCCTTCAAGACTGGCAGCCCTTGGCAACTCAAACTAACTCATGCAAGATGCCTCTTGGGAGGCAGAAGTGTTAATGGTACAGACTGTAGGACTGAACTAAGGTTGGGTCTAGCTAGAGCACTGTCCTACGCACTGTGGGTACGGACACTGCCTTATCCTCTGTAGCAAGCTCACAGGGTGCCTCCAACCCCAAATGCTTTCAGCTCATCCTGAAGACTTAGCCCTGCCCCTACTCTAATGCTCTGACTAGGGATGGGCAGACTCTGGACAGGCTTCTTGTATCCAGGACTTGGTACTGCTCAGACCTCATATGCTGACTCCAGGGTCCCAGCCTCTTGGAGTCAAGCCTGTTTGGGACCTCACTGCTAACATTCCTATAGCCCCAGACCTTCCTGGCTGACCGGGCCTGGTCTCCAGTAGAAAAAGAGTGGGGTCAGCAAGGACACCCTGGAAACTCAAAGGAAAAGTCCTGCAACCGAGTCAGCACATTCTCACATTTCCCACAGTGGGTACAGCTGCAGCCTGGGACAGAATGCTTCATCATGGCACTGCCACTTCACCTCAGGAAAGCCAGGCTGTCAGGTCATTCTAGTTTATGGTGTCATTGCTAAGCAGAAAGTTACAGCAGGAGGACTGGGGAAACTCCTAGAACAGACTCCTAATCTCATACCTGGTTACAGGGTTCAACTCTTTAATGTCCTCCATTTAGAGATAAGTAAGCAAGCCTTAAGAAGAGCAGGCACGTACCTAACATCACCGAGCAGGTGCAGGCACAGGAGAACTAGAGTATGGGGCTCTTGGCTGCCCCATGTTACCACATAAGCATAGCCAAAGAACCCCACTTCTACCAGACCAGCTAAAACAAGGTACTAGGTAAAAGAATGAGTAACACTGGTGGAACGTCAGTCCCAAGTGTAAAGTGTATGACTTTCCCAGTGGTGTCAGAGGGTTCTTCCTAAGTCATCAGCTCTAGACCAGGGGCAATTCAGCTTCTCCAGAAGACACCTGCCAATGCCTGAGAATATTCTGGTTCTCACTAGTGGAGGAAGGGGATGCTGCTGGTCTCTAGTGGATGGCAAATATCCCAGAGTGACCCGCACAAATACAAAGAGTTATCCAACCTAAAGCAGCAGTAGTATTAAGGTAAGAAATGTCTGCTCTAAGCAGATATTAAACACTCTCTTGGTAGGGACTGTGGGAATCTGAGGGATCCCAGGGTGCGTAATCCCACAAGATTCTGACCTGTCACAAGTGATTGTAGAAGGAGGATGGCTTTCACTATCACAAAGTCTTTCTGTATCTGGGGAACTAGTTTTACAGACTGTCATTCCAGAAGGGTAACTTGTCCTGGCTGAGAGCATGGTCTGAAAGGGCTGGCTCAGGGCTGCCCACTCTGAGCTTGAGGAGGCACTCAAGAAGCAGGCATGCCACTCTTCCCAGGGAAACAAACGCAAACAGGGTGTGATTTTAACCTGATTTTTGTCCAGCTCACAGTTCTTATACTCTTTTTCTCCCTGCTCCTGAAATGTAACGATGACAAAGCCCACAAAGATGTTCATCATAAAGAAAGCGACAATGATGATATAGATGATGAAGAAGATGGAGATCTCCACGCGGTAGTTGTAGACCGGGCCAATGTTCTCTCCATTTGAGTCAATGGCTTTATATAGTAACCTGGAGAGCAGAAAAAACAAGTGAGCACCTGCTAGCCCCATTCAGCCCAGCCTCCTGCCTTCTCAGGTGTCCTCAGAGCTCTTCTGAACTCTTCCCAAAACCACTGGCTGTCAAGCCTTTATGGGGTGCCCCTGGACACAGTCAAGCTTCTGAGGCACCCTCTGTCTCCTGAGATCCAGCCAGCTGGCACCTAGAGGAGTCACCCAGCATATAATCCACAAAACACTGCTGTGAGCACTGAAAACCAAAAGATTCCATGAGTATTTGGTAACACTTCCAGTCACAGAAAGAAAAACACTGCTCATAACATATTAGATAAGGTGGAAACTGTAATGCTTGCAGACAATAAGCATCCTAGCAGAGAATTTCCAAAGAACTAAGGGAAGTTTATTAAACTGAAATAAGCACTAAAAGTAAATATATATCAAACAGAACTCTTAACAGGAACCAAGAAATTACTGGAACTGTTCCCACTCTGATGCTGATTCAGACACTCCTACGTCACCTACCTCACCTGGGCTTCTGTCTGGAAAGGCAGACATTGTTGTCACTGTCATTTTATGGACTTTCAGAGGGACCCACCTGCCATGGTCACACTCCTCAGGGGCAGAGTTAGGAGATGAGTTCAGTTCCTTTAGCCCCAAGACCTAGGTTGGCTCACTTTTCCTCAGCTGTCTCCATGACCTCCTAAAGCACAGTGTCTAACACCAGCAATACGGCTAATGCCTCTTCCAAGTCAAGGTCTTGTCCAGTTCCTCTCTTCTCCCAGGAGCAATTTCCTAACAAGCAAGCTCCACTTGATTTTACTTGCACCCAACAGAAGTTTCTAAAAATATGTGACTCCAACATGCAGTGGAGTGCCCTACCAGCTTGCAAGGACCAGCTGACCACCTTCTGCAGCTCCTCTGGGCATGGGACATGACAGAAAGAGCAAATAAGGGACAAAAGATCCCCCCTTTGCATCCTACTCTCTTCCTTCTTTACCCACTCAAATTTTAGCCATTCTTCAGTACCTGTCCAGGACATACTACAGCTCCTGCTTCATTTAACCACCTGCACTCTTACTAGATTTGAGGATGAAGGGAGAAATACGGTGTAGATTGTTTCTCCCCTCTGTTCTCCTTCCCTTTCCTCTCTGCTCTTCTCTGCTTCTCTTTTCTTCAGTTTAGGGATTGTGCATGCTAGGCTAGGTAATCACGTAACCACTGAGCTGTACCAGTGCTGAGCACAGCATGCTCTATGGAGCTCATATCAAAGCACACTGTATGAATGAGCAAGTGAGTTCTTTCATGAAAGAAACGGCACAGTGGCCACTGTCCACACTTGGAAATGAATTAACAGGAAGCATCAGAATGAATGAATGTTTGGAGACACATCAAGACCCCCTTAGGAGCAGCAGAACAGCAGCTTTATTGAAACAGCTACCAAGGAGATTAGGCACAGAAGACACCTCTTAGTCCCATCCAGGGATGCTGCCCAGGACCAACTTTATCTTGCTTCAAATCTGAGACTCTGTTAGCAGGCAGCAGAAGGTGATCATCTGCTAGTCAAATGGGCTGAGGAGTCATGATAAAGTTAAAGAGCCACAGGATACGTCTGAGACAGAGGTGGGATACACTCCTGGAGAGTGGATTCGGCCCAGAGCCACTCATGGAGCAAGTAGGAGCCTCCTGGAAAGACTGTACATTTTCTATACTCACGCAGGCCAGCCCTCAAAGGTGGAGACCGTGAAGAGCGCCATCATAGCAGAAAGTACATTGTCGAAGTTGAAATCACTATTTTGCCAGATCCTTTCACGGACCATGGGGCTATCGACATCCCCATCCTTGTAGAGGATGAAAAGCCCTCTGTGGACAAAAATTAGTGTGTGTCACTCTGGCTTCACACATGGCAGGTAGAAAGAGCACTGAGTCAGTCATAGCCCCCCAGGCCTTCCCCCAGGCATGTCACACGCTCCGCCCCAGCAGAGTCACACACCTGAGCATGACATAGGTGGGTTCCTCCCTTGCACTCCCTACATTTAATCTATTTCACAGCACAAGCGACCGAATAACACTAGTGCAATGTGTTTTCTCGGGAGCAGCTAGGCACACAGCCAGTTTGTCTGTTAACACAAGGAAACCAGAGGACAGTAAACATGTCTCCCATAAAAAAGGCTCAGAGACATGCAGAAGTATCAAAGCCTTGGCATAGAAAATTCTAAAAGCTCTGGGAAATAAGCCCAGGCAGGTATATTCTTAGCTCATCACATTTCTTTTTCTTCATACTAATGATATGGCCAGTTTTCTCTCCAAAAGAATTCCACAATTTCTGACATACATCATTTCTCAAAGAACTTCATTTATGGATGGAGCCCATGATTATTTTACAAATGAGGAAGCAGAGTCTCTGGGAGGGAAGGGAAGCTGCACCCTGCTCCGTACTGCCCTGCTCCAGGCTGCGCTCTGCACTCCACGCCTTGGGTGAAGGGCACCTCTGGACCTACACAGTCGTAGTCACAACTGATGTTACAACTGATGCCTGGTGTGGCATTTCTGCCTAAAGGAAACTCCAAACCAACATAAGTGACACAGGCAGCAGACACAGGTTAGTTACGTATGTGAAGGGAGGGGACACACATAAGATTATGCAGTCTTCAGCTCTGGGCAATGGTTTCTATGCCTGCCTTATTCATCAGGCACCTTGGAATAAAGAGGCATGAACACTTCCTGCTTTATCTCACCTCGGCCGGTTCCTGTGAAGGAAAACATGGCTCACACATAAGAGACAGGAGCAAGGAGAGCGGGAGCCTGGAAAATCTACCAGAAGACGGAGGCAGCTCCTGCATGCCAGAGAGCTGAGCTGCAAGATCTCATTAGAGGGAATACTAGCCACAAGGAAGGAGAGATACTTGCATCATTTCACAATTGCTATTTATCACATCCCTGTTTACCTAAATTCTACACCAAATAGCAAAAGCCACTGATCTGTTCTTTCAGGATGCGAAAAAGTTCTGAATTTAAAGGTGATGGCTGAGCAATAAACGTGATGTGACTGTACTAAATGCTCTAAACTGTACCCTTACTACCAGCCACTGGTTTTATGTTAGGTGAATGCCACCTCAATTAAAAAAAAAACCAAACGAAACAAATACCAAATAACATATACTCAGCTGTGATCTCAGCACACCAGAATTTTTTACCCCCAGACAAAAAGTTCTGGCATGAGTGAGTCCTTGAGGTATTTTTTAAAATTTATTCTTCCAAATTCTCTACTCTGCTCTCTGGACACTGACCTGCATTCTTCAGGGTTACTTTTGGCTTCATCTGTGCAGCGATAAAACTTCCCCTGGGTGTAAAACAGACAGACAGTCAAGCATAGGCTCCTCCTTAAGGCAGTCAGCCTGGCCTCAGGCATAAAGGCCATCGCTCTACCTTGAACAACTGCACCCCTATGCAGGCGAACATGAACTGGAGGAGGGTGGTGACGATCATAATGTTGCCGATTGTCCGGATGGCCACAAAGACGCACTGCACAACGTGCTGGGGAGAGAAGGGGAAAAAGAAAAGAAGATGTCACTTTCCTCTGTTTTCTTTCTTTTTTTTTTGTCTTTTTTCGGTACCAGGGATCGAACTCATGACTGCCTGCTTGCAAGGCAGGTGCTTATGCCGCTGAGCTAAACCTCCAGCCCCCTCTGTTTTCTTAGCCACCAGGTGAGGAACACTCACCAAGAGCTTCTGCATGTGTGGGCAGGATCATATGGTGTCCCACCCATGCAGTGCTCTGTGCTTTGCTTTGCAGGTTATCTGCAGGGAGGGGCCAACGTGCAACCCCAGCCCCTGTGAGGAGCACCTTGTAAGCAGGCTCCTCTTTGATTTCCTACAAAGAACTGACATAGTCAAAAGAAATGCTGTGGGTACACAGCACTGCCTGGCACAAAGGACCAAAGGGTTCCTCATTCTATAAAGGGCTACACAAAATGCAAACTCTTTTTTTGTATAATTTGGATGAGGACAGATATAAAGACTAAAATACACACAGATACTACTGGTAACAAAAAAAAAAAATTAAGTGAACTATAATCATTAGAAAAACATCTCCCATTAACAAAAGTAGCAAAATTTTTAAAATGTCATCAGCACATGGTAGAGACGGAATTATCAGTGAGAAAGGTCCCTCTTTGAAATTCACCAGGCCTCCTCTCAGCTCTGGTCCAGAAGGGTCAGTCATTACACCCAAGCCCAACCCTAGCCTGCTCCACTGGAAGGAAAACAGTCACTACCTTAAGTCCTTTGGCTCTGTTGATTGCTCTAAGGGGCCTCAGGACCCTTAAGACCCTCAGAATCTTCACGACAGAGATGGCACTGGATCTGAGGGAGAGCAGAGGGGAGAGAGTAAACTAAGTGTATCACGGATGGGTAGAAAACTTCGAGATCAGTTATTTCACTTGACTTCCACCTCTTTACTCCCATGACACAATCTGCCTGGGATCCACGTGGAGCTGAGCTGAGCTGTCTTCAGGGCTTAGGTATGATCAACTTCCACAGCACACTGGGCAGGGCCTCCTGAGCCCAACCCACGGGCACTCAGCGGACTTTGACAGAGACGCAAACTATACGCTCACTTTGTTCTTTATGCTCAGTGCACGAGGAGTGATGCAAATATATTATGCATTTTAGATTTTTAAATTTTATTATTGTAAAAGACATACTGTCTGTTAATCTCCCTCAAAACATCCCTCATTTCAAACACACTCAGCCCACTGTTCTTGCCACTTCTTTTTTCCAAATCCAGTTTATCTCAAAGAGAAAAAACCCAGTAACACAGAATTTAAATTCAGAATAATCACGGGACAACAGTGGTACATACATTGTGTACTGCCATCCCTAAATCAATCACCCAGAACACAAGACAGTTGCATTCAATTGTCTGAACAGTACCAACACTAACCTTTCTCGTCAATGAACTCCGAGAAATCAGTAGTACAACTATCTTAACTCTACTTTATATATATAGATATAGACGTCTACATATATTGCTTCTTTCAGCTTCTTACATTAGTGAGACAATAGGATGTTCACACCTATAGGTTTTACAAGTAAGGTCTCAAGTTGCATCCATTTAAACATGAATGTCTCAAATTTGCCCTTCTCTCTGGCTGAGCAGTACTCCACTATACGAAAGTGCCACATCTGTTCTATCCATCCCTCAGCTGAGGGGTCTTGCCACTTTGTGAAGCAGTCCTGAAGTCCTCTTGTGTGTCTTTATGAGGGGGATGAAAAATACGGTGATCGCTGCTGCCAAGTGCCATCCACAGAAAGGGAGCCTCTGAAAACACGACAGGGTGTGCCCTTGCCCACCCTGTACCCACTGGATCCGGCACTCTGTGACTTCTGGCTCTTCCTCAAAATCGAAGTGACCATGAAAGGGAAATGTTTTGATTTAGAGCATCAAAACAGCTGAGAGTGCAGCTAAAGACACTCCCAAATGAGGACTTTCAGAACTGCTTCAGAAAGCAGCAAGAAAGACGGGATAAGTGTGTTCGAAGTGAGGGGAAGTATTGTGAAGGTGGGTCATGGCCATGTGTTTCTTATTATAATAAAATTTTTTAAAAATTTAAGCATTCACCATATTTTATCATTAAACTTTAGGTAGCTGATAGCTTCCAGATTTCAGTTTTTGTTTAAATTTGGAGACCTGTTGCAGTACTTTGTTCCTGGGGCTCTTCTTGCCATATAGGAGTTAAGTCTGACTGGAAAGACAGGCAATCCCACTGCCAAGGGGTACCTATGACAATGGGATAAAAGCAGGTTGCTCACCCGGGTGAGCACAACCTTAGCACAGCCCGAGCAGACCTCTTATAGAGGTGACAGCCAGGTGAATCTGGAGGAGGATTAGGACTTGGCCAACAGAGGGGCTCCATGCTGAGGGGTAGTGAGAGAGAGCAGCTCATGTGCGGTCCTCCAGGTGCCTGCGTGGGTGAGAGCCGCAGCTGTGAGAGGCAGGTGTGGCCTGGGCTATAAGCTACAGGGCACCCGCTTCCAGGCAGCAGTGGAGTCGATAAAGAGGACACAGAGAGCAGTGTCAGAAAGGATTTCCTCGTCCTCCCTGGTTACCGTAAGCCCATCATATGGGAGTAATAAAGATCAGCACCAGGACAGAGGTGCTCACAGGCCAGGAGAAAAGCAAGGCCCCTCCTACTGCTCCCACAGGAGCCTCCCCCGCAGCCTGCTCTATAGTGCAGGTAGGCACAATGGCTATTCCCCTCCAGAAATCCCTAAAAGCCAAGGAAGGACCTATGCTGCTGACTTGCAACCTCATTTCCTCTATGGCTGAAACATTTTACAGACCAAAGAAAAGGTCAACACTGCTGCATCCTGGCAAATCCAGAGAAATCTCTGTTGTTTATGAACAACATCTTTGAGAGGCTACTGGATCCCAGTGCTTTCAGCATACAAGGGAAACTGAGACCTGAGAGAGGATGTCCTCAGGCTGGAACCAGCCCCTGGAAGGACTGGGACTTTGTATGGGGACAAAGTAAGCAATCTTGGCTAAGTAAATCATTAGAACAATGCCAGCCTTTCTGAGTTATGAAAAAAACCCTTACATATATCATCCTGTCAATAGTCCAGGGCGCGCACACACACACACACACACACACACACACACACACACACACACGAATACTTACTGAATCCCAAACGACACCAGAGACACACCAACAACTAGCATGTCCAACAAATTGAAGTAGTTCCTGCAGAAAGCTCCTTTGTGCAGGAAAGCTCCAAAAGTGGTCATCTGTAACAGAACCATGGGTCACTTACTGCTGCCTTTCTCCAGAGGCAAAGAAACCTGGGCTCTTCACAAAATCTTAAGAAACTATGGCTTTATTAACGCGTGCATGCTAGGAAGTCAGAAATGTAAACCTCTGCCAGGGCTAAGCAACCAAGAAACTTATTCAAACAAAATGGGAAAAGGGCAGCTGATTTCAGACACAATTTAAAAGAGACTAATTTAGACTTTATTATTGCGAGGACAGGTTTCCAACATGAATGCATCACAGCATGTGTAAAGAGCCCGTCCTCGGAGAGGTTCCTTATGACTATGCTTGTCAGAATGTCAGCACTGCCTGACATCTAGACTTGCTCACAAAGCACTGGCCTAGCCTCGCTGCGGTCTCAGCAGAGGCCAGAGTTCCCCTTAAGCCTTCTGAGTTGAGGCTAGAAGCACCAGAGTCCATCATTCACAAGCTCTCTATGTGCAAAGAAACCTAAGTCCTTTTTCCACATAGGCCAGTTAATACCACTCTTTTAAAACTGATTTTAGCTGATTTTTAACAATCCACTCATTTCAAGAGATGACAGGAGAAGAGAAAGTAGACTTTCAGAGATGGGGAAGGAGATAGAGGGGAGAGGAAGCAGATAAGATGTAATAGGGTTGAAAATAATCAAAATGTGATATATGCACATACTAACATTAAAATAACCTCACTTATTTGCATCACTAATATATACCAACAAAAATCCATTTCAAATGGCTCTGCCAAGCCTTGTTGTTCTCTAGCACACACCATGTGTAGCAAAGAACTGTCACATGATGTCACACCTATGTTAGTCTTGGTATTTCTTGTCACACACGTTGTGCACCTGGAGCACATATTATAAATAAACAAACCAGTGAGTTTTCCAGTGGTGATAGAAAAAGGAAGTTTTCTTCAGAGTAAAAACAGGAAAAAATAGAGAATTTATCATTAAAAAAAAAAAAAAGGTGAGATGGAGGCTCAGATCAGTACAGTCAGAAAAAGGCAGAGCTGGGAAATACTGCCCCAAATCTGATCAAATTGCCAATATTCAACCCTACAAAAGTGCCAAATGCACTGTTTAACCCAATAAATAGCCTTACAAATCTTCCAAGGAATCTATCTGCACACAGATAGACAATTCTTGATGAATTTTAACTTTATGAATTTTTCTTGTTTCAGCGTATTTTTCACTCTAAAATACCTTTAAAATGAACAATGACTTGGAAGATTTAAGTCATGGGGCAAATCTACAGAAATTAAAAAGCAACTACCATTATTCTCTTTCAAATAATTCAAAATCTCATTTCCCTTAAAGCCCAAGTAACTACATACATTTAACAACTTTAAAAAGTGGAAGGTAAAGTAATACCTCAATTAACTAGGAGAATAGGCTAAGCAGGATACTGCCCATTACATCTGAGAAGGAGAAAGCAAATGACAGAGAGAAGAACCTGAGGCAGGAGTAGAGGCTGCCAAGAAGCCTGACACCACATGTGCGTTCTGCAACACGGCCCTCAACGGGACCCCTGTGAGCCACCGGCCCCCTGCACAGCTCTCACTGAGGAAAGGACAGTCAGCCAGATCTGCTGGACTGAAGGCAGGAAAATGAATTTCAACTTCTTGTTAGATGTGAAACAAAGATTCAACCAGATAGTGATTGGTTGGTTTTAACCTTATTTTTCATTAACAACAAAAAGAGGCCACGACTCGGCCACATTAATTACAGATTCTTTTACAGAAGATGTTGTGAAGAGTGCCACATTCCATAGTAGTCCAACACAAAATTCATCTTTTTCCTGAGATGCACACACAAAAAGTTCATAACGGTTGAAAGAAAACTGTGATTCGAAGGTTTGAATGCTTAGCTTCTTCCCACTAGAGACAGTTGCTCCGACAGTTTTTCTGGGCCATGTTCTCCCACAGCTGTAAGGACCCACTCCCAGAGGTTCTTGGCTCTCTGCTGTTGGACTCCAGGCCTCTCAGCACATACGGTAGGAATGAGTTCCCCAGGGGCGGCCTTCACAATCACTACACAAACCGCATGCAGCAATGGCATCTGTGAACTCATGCATGGGCAGTACATTTAGATTGTCCTATCCCAATGTGCCCCCTTCATCTGTGTAAATGTAAGCCCATCCATTAAAACAGATACAAACTAGCTTAACACAATTGGACCCAAGGTATCTTGCAAAGCTTGTTGCAAGAAAATAGTATAGTACTTTACTATTTTAGGCCACTAAATGATACTGCAGTCAGAGAAATAAGGAGCATTCCCTTCAGATGATAAACCGTTTTTCTCTGACTTTGATGTCAGAAAGGGTAGAAGAAAGTTCACTCACAGAGCAGTATCTGATATTAGTGGACAAATTTCAGTACTTTTTTAAAAGAAGAAAGATATAATCCTTCACTGTTATGTGAAGCCAAAGTAGCTCCTACATGCATTCAAAGGTTAAAATGAAGCAGGAAAAAAAAAGGTGAAATGATTACAGGAAAAAATTCTTTGGTTAAAAAAAGTTTAGTTTGATCACAGAAGACAAAAAAAAAAAAAGCCAAAAACACTTCACGCTTCTTTCCTGAGTCTCACACACAGGAGCAGGTCCTTAAACACACCGCTGGGTAGCCTGTTACCTTCAAAATGATCTCAAATGCAAAAGTACCAGTGAAGACATAATCTGCATAACCTAGCATCTGGAAGGTAAACAAAGAATGGCAACTATTATTGCTACAGCTGCTTTAGGTAGTGAAGAGCAATAAAAAAATCATTACCTTCAACAGGATTTCAACAGTAAAGATGGCTGTGAAAGCATAGTCAAAGTAACCCAGTATCTGCAAGGCACAACATGTGGAAATAAGAACAAGGCATCCAGACGGGCTTGCACTGCGCCAGACCCCTGGGAAGAACCCCACTGATGGCCGGAGCCCATTCTCTGAGGTCCCCTGCTGCACTGCTGGGAGGTGGAGACACTCAGAAGGGCCCACCCAGGTGCAGGAACAGCTCCCTTTTCTGACCAGCAAGGACCTTGGGAAGCCTGAGCATCTTTAGCCACTCATCTGCCTGGCTTCCCAGGCTCCCATTCTGGACTGACAGGGCCAATTTAAGGAACAACCTTTCCTCATCAGTATGCTGCATCTACTAAAGTCTTATAAGTCCGGGTAAACTACAGTCATACACATTTTTGATTTTTAACTGTGTTTGTGGCTGAATGAAGTGTGTTGCCATCCAGCTGAGCTGCACGTTGGCAGACCAATGTAAATATAGATGGGCTTGTTTAACAGGCATTCAGTTCCATCGCTGTAAAAAGTAAAGCTTTAAAACACGGTATCAGTGGCATCAAACACAGGCATGTGTCACTTGTATTCCAGTCTATTTATTCAGCAGGCACCCCACCCTCCCTCAATGTGTTGGGCTAGCTCCCTCCACAAGGCATGGCTTCACTTCCCATCTCTTCCCATTCATGGCCCTGCATTTAACACTATTCTTGCCAGATCCTGGTTGTTAGTCTAGCTAGGCCTACTCAAAGAACAGAGTGACTTGGCCTCAAATTTTCAGCCCAGGCTATTCTGTGAGCATTCCTGAAAATATTATTCACTATCCAACAGAGTCTTGTTTACCCTCTTCTGGGTCTCTGCTTCCTATAAGAATCAGAGACAGGGCAGATGGATCAGTAGCCAGAACACTGACCACTCCACCGAGGCCCTTCACAGGGAACTGCTGACCACAGCATGTTCAGCAAAAAAGATGGCAGCCTCAGCTTTCTGAGAAGATGAAACCTGGGGTGCTCATCTTCACAGCAACTTTGCTTTGTGGTTTTAAAAGAACTGGAGACACAGGAGTTGGTAGGACTGTGGAAACCACTCACTTAAAAGCAAGAACTGAGCAGGAAGGAGGGCTACCAGGGGCTAAGAGCCACCAGGTCATGCTGTTTCACAAACGGCAGCCAGTTTAGGGAGGCGCTCTGCTGCTTCTCCACAAAAACACAGGACCTCTGCTTCAGGGCCAGCTCTGCTCAGAAGTGCTCTCTTTTCCTGAACCATTGCTTTCAGGTTTATAAAATCTCCCGAAATGCTTCTGCCTGATTGTGTTTCCTGCCAGGCCCAGGAAGGTATTTTCTAATATACTGTCAGGCCCCTCCACCTTCTTCTTATTCCCTTCTGGACACAGCAGGGCTGTTAATGTTGAAAAATAGTACTGGCAAGCTTAGCTGGTACAAGATTTAAATTGGTCTCTCCTCCTTCAGCTTCTTTTTCGCTAAGCATTCAGCTAAGGTTAAAAGAAAACACTGTAAAGTTTTACAAGTAATACACATAAACACATGTACATCTATTTTAAAGGAGCAGGTCCAATTTTGGGAAAAGTAGCAAGAAAATAAACCCATAAGCATAGTAAAAAAAAGAGACACACAAAGCGCCAGTATAAATTACTTTTTGGTAGCAGGTCTTCTAGTCTAGCTGTTGACGTAGTCTGCCATATAATGTTTTATTCCAAGCATCTTTTCCCTCATGTACTTCAATTTTATGATGGAACTCAATGCCACAGAAGTCATTATTTCACTCAAATAATGGGGAGACCATCCTAAAGATCTCTCAAAAAGAAAATGCTAATCTGTGAGGACAGATTAAGACAGGCTGAAGGCCTTTGCTGTTGCCTTATCTATGCCGACACATGCAGTGGAGGAAAGGGCTTTTCATGTGCTGTTGGAGTACACAGTTTATCACTCAGACGGGGTTGGCCAGGCACCGGAAAACGGGAAAAACATTATGGGACCTCGCTGTCACAACAGAAAGTTGGGTGCACTCACCTGCCCCTCTTAATCCTAAAATTGCCAGTGACTGATGGCCTTGTACATTTGCTGGCCCCCTTTCTGAGGGCAGGAGGGAGCTTCCTGGTAATAACCTAAGACTGCACTGGAGTGCCTAGGCCCGGCAGCCAAGGGGTATGGCAATCCTCTGAAGCTGTCTGCTTTGGCTGTCTTGCTGCAGGATGCACTGAACTAAGACAGACTTCTGAAGCCATAGGTAATAGGTACGGCTTTCTTTCCAGCACAGATGCACCAGAGGACACTATCCTTGATCTAGCAAACTGATGAATAATAGAAAGCCTAGGTCTCCTACTTGTTTCCTTAGTGTAACAGCCTATGCCACAACAAACCCCAAGTCCCTCATCTCTACAGATTCTCAGTGCTGCGACCCCATCATCTTTGTGACTTACATTTCTCCTCATTCACCAGGCCAGGCAGCTTTGTGTATTTATCTAGACACAAGGCAGCAATCTTTCCCTATAGCTCTAAAGAAGAGCTCCTGGGCTTGCTGCATACCTGGACTCGGTTTCACCTTCTTTCTGCTCTATGCTCCCTGGAGGCCTAAATCTCAAAATAGGTGTAACTGTGCTTCTGATAGGGAGAGAGGAAGAGCAACCAAAATGTCAGCAGCAAGGAGCAGAGAGGAGAAGCTATGTCCCTGCATACATTATAAGTTACTGCCGAGGATTTTAAATGAAGTCCAAAATAAATAATTCTATTGCAACTTGCCCAGATAAAACAAGATCTCTGGCACTCACAATCTGGAAACGTGAAGATTTCCAAATGAGCTAGAGGTCTGCCCTAGCTCTAGCTGGGAGGGCCCTGCAGACCCTCTTCTCCAGGAGGCCTCTGTCCAGCAGAGGCCAGTGCTGACCTTGGAGGGAGCCCCACCCACCTCCTCTGTCTCTGAGGCTTACAGTGTTCCGGAAGGAGTGGCTGCGGATGGGATCCTCGGCGGCCAGTGCGGCACTACTCAGCATGATGAAGACGAGGATGAGGTTGGTGAAGATGTGGTGGTTAATGAGCTTGTGGCAGCCCACACGGATCCTGTGGAGAAAAGCTGCTGCATGGACACAGCCCAGACAAGGGTCCGAGTGTGTTGGGCCCCCGCAGGGCAAGACCCCGCAGGGAGGTCAGTTGTTTGCAAGGCCATGGGTGCCCCCCAACCAGGCAGATCGGAGTGATGCCACCATTTCCTCCACAAAGCCCACCACCAGGAGGCCCTGTGGACCCACAGAGTGACCAGCTGTGGGTCAGAAGCTGCACAGACACTGTGTCATCTACTCCTCAGGCAGGGGAAGCTGCTGCCCATCAGAGGAGGGGGAAACTGAGGTTTATGAATATGAAAGAACTTAAAGGTGACAGAGTGTCTAAGGACTGGGGTGGATTTGCAGCCTAGATCTGTTTGACACTGAAATTTTTCCATTACAACATGATGCCTGAGAGTTTATCATCCTTTCCTTAAGAAGGGGACTGTCAAACTGAATTTGGCCTGATTGTGACTCTATACCTTGAATCCCTACCTAACCAGCTATGACCTAACTTAGTAAGCAAACTAACTGGGACTCAATCTTTGGAGGAGCTCAAATAACAAACAGCTTAGTCTCTGTGAACCACAGCAGGTGGCACAGGCCACGCTATTGCCTAGAAGCTGTCTCTGTCCCTGACTTCCGTTTCCTGCCCATAAATGTTGTGGGCCCATACTGTACATCCTCACTCTCTGAACCTTTTACCATGCTTAGGACCACCTGACTTGTGAATCACTCCTTGTTCATACTTTGCCAAAATTAATTTGTCTAAAGTTCTTATTTAAACACAGAGAATGGATAAATTCCTTTCTCATACTGCAAGGTGGGTGCGGCATGTATGAAAACAGGAACCACAGTTAAGTGAGGGTCAGTGAGATCTCCTACTGCCCACAGATTTCGTTAACATGTTGAATGTTAGAGCTGCTGCACAGCATGCAATCCTTAGGGAATTGAGCTACATTACCACTGGTAACATGCAAGGGTCTCCTTGCACCATGTGATGCAGATCTCACAGCATCCTGGGAAGCTGTGTCCAGTACTCCTGGGGCTGCATCCTACCAGTGGCTCCCTGGGTCACTAGAATCTCTCCTGCTGCCCCTGAGGTGCCATGGGGAAGGGCAGTCAGTGACTGTCCTTATCGTCAATATTTGACTTTAGGATTTAAAAGGGCTTTTGTTTTGTTGTTGCTGTTTTGTTCTGCCTATAGAATAGAGTTTTTCTTTTGAACATATTCTTCTCATCTTTAAAGCTGGTATCAACTTTGTAAGAAGATTCAGTTCTGTTCATGGCTGCTCAATGCTAAATGCCTTCTGGAGGCCTTACAAGTTATTACTAGAGTCTGCGGAGACCTTCCAATGAGGACTGGTGCTTGTGACTTTGGGGGACAAGTCCATCCATTCTTTCAACATCTATATACTTGGTGAACTGCAGGTTTCAAGAACATTAATCCAATAACTCTTTTTCTTTCTTTGTTTTTTTGTACTGAATTCACAACCTTGCGCTTGCCAGGCAGGCACTTATGCCGCTAAGCTAAATCCCCAGTCCACCTTTCTCTGTTTGTTTTTGTTTTGTTTTAAGGACATCCAAACAATGATAAGCTACAAAAATGATCATCAGATAGTCATGTCTCAAGGACTCCAACATTTGGCTTCAGACCTGGATCTCTCTGGGTCCTGCAAATTATACAATATTCTCCCTGACAGCCAAGAACTACTTTTGCAATTCAGAAACCTCTCCAGGAGCCACTAATTCCTTTGGTGGCTCACTTAATCTCACATGATTAAGACCCAGAACCCAGTTAATAAATGTACTTCTTCCACTTACAGTACTCGTGAGTCATTACTGTGTTCCTTACCACTTTACCATGAGAAATGCTATGTCTCCTGGGGTATATCACAGAACTTACAACCTAAAAAATACCACTTCAGTATCACTTTGTCATCATAAAACTTCACAGGCAAAAAAGATCCCCTAAGTGGATCTGACTATAGGGTGCCATGTAAAAGCTGATCATGAAACGCACATCCAGCAAAGCAGCTTAGGATCCACTCATTAAGAAAGTGTCCAAGGCATGACCAAGCACACAACACCAAGGCAGTGGCTTCCAACTCGGTGGGGTATCTTGGTGGTCACAGATATTCCTCCACTGCTGTTCCTATGTAGGGGTTGTGGGAGGAGGAAAATCTAGAACAGCACTCCCCTAAGGACCTGGCCACATGCCCACAGGCACAGAAAGGCTGATGGTGGAAGGCAGGAATAGGCCTGAGGGGAGACAGAAGGGCTTGGTGGAGTGGTACACAGGGAACAATTGGGTTCAGAAGCACACTGTGCCCCGCTTCCTCTCACTCCAGCCCAGCCACCCACAGGCAACCTACAGGGTCACCTCAGACAGGCAGCAGTGATAGGGGTAGAAAGGAGTATTTACGGGTTGGTCTTGCTAAGAATGAAGAAAGCGCTCCCTTCAGGGATGGGGGCGATTTTCTCCTTCATGTTCAACTCTGAGATTCTACGAGGACGAGGACCAGCAGGAACTTCAGGTTCATCCTCCTCCTCCTCTTCTTCCTCTTCACCTACTTTAAATGAAACAATTTTCTTACAGATGAAATAAGGACAACATGTGTGTTTTAATTATTATCCTCGTTTACTTAAACTTGAACATCAGCTTCCAGCTTACACTAATCAAAACCTTCCTAGACTCTTTAAAACAGTTTCAGTCTGGGGACAAGGTGGCAAGGATGCACCCCTGTCTAAGGAGTGCATTTAGCTGCAGGCACGACAAGGTACCATCTGTACACAGACAAGGTGGGAGCGGTGAAGGTCTCACTGCCATTCTCCCACCACCTGTTTGTTTCCCCAGTTACCTCCTTGCTTAACTCTAATCTCAAAATTTGTATGTGGGACTTCGAGTCACAGACAAGCAGTCCCTGGGTCTGTCAATCCCACAGTCCCACTTCATTAGCCAATAAAAACGTCCATCAAATGTGCAAGTATCAGGTGAGTGTTAACAATTAGTTTCCTAGAGAGGCTTCCCAGCAACAGGTGGGCCCATCCTGTTCCACCCACACTTTCCCTCCCCATCACCTGGAATTTGAGTTATATATACTTTCTGGACCATAGGAAAAAATGGAGCTAATTGGTCCATATAGCAACTGGCCCAGGGGCCATGGTGGCTTCAGTAGCCCAGCATGACCCCAGTTGGGTCAGCCAGCCACAGAGTCAGCAGCAAGTCACAAAGTGGTAGCAAAGCCACATTATTCATGAGCTGAGAGCCCATCTCTGGCCATCACCACCATACCCGGAACATCACAAGGTGGGTAAGGGTCCTTGTCTTCATCCTCTTCTCGATAGTCATCAATTGTAACCTAAAAAATAGAGACATCTTTGCAGGAGGGAGAGGCTGACTTGTACACACTTCAGAAAGCCAAAGTGAAGGGCCAACCTGCCCTTAGCACTGAGCAGGAAATTCCCCTCCCAAGTGTGTGAGGAGGAGGGACAGGCAGACAGTGACTCTGCTTCAGACAGAAGGCCCAAGGGCAACAGGAGATACAACACTGACTCAGGCAGGACTACTGGGCACAGCCCACTCATCTGCCCTTGTGCTCTCCCAGGGAATCACACACACTACGTGATAACCACAGTAACATTCCTGCTTCCCCCTAGACTGAGGCTGGGACTTTGTTGATCTTCATTCCTAAACTCCTAGTTTCTGACATGTGATCACCTCTCAGTATTTATTACCTTGACGTCCAACAAATGAATGAAATGCTGTCATAGGTGGGGTGCAGTCTGTCATAATTTAGATCTAGCATGTCCCTCTAAAGCAGTGGTGATGGACATTACAGAGGTGTGAATGACACAAATAGCCACTGCGGCTTGCATGCTGCAAGTTCCCCACCACTGCCCTAGAGCCTTGTGTGTGGAGAGGTGGGGCTTCTGGAAGAGGACTGCACCATGGGGCCGCTCTGGATTCACCAGTGGTCCAGCCACTCATGAGTTCAGTGAGTAAGTGTAATGCTAGGAGATGAAGTGTTCACAAGAGGTGGGTCCCCAGGGTCCTGCTGTAAGGGTGTGACTCCCTCCCTGGCTCCTCCCTTCTCTCTTTGTTTCCTGGCTACCAGATTTAAGCAGCTTCCTCATGGACTGCTGACCATGGACTGAAGTTTCTGCGACTGTGAGCCAAAATAACCTCTCTTCCTTTAAGCTGTGGGTGTCAGGGACTGTGTCTCAACAACAAGGAAGTGATAAAGACAGTGTACCCTGAGACTTCCCAGACCACTTGATCCTGGGGTCACCTCTGGAACAGACATCTACTAAAAATTTTGATTTTAATACCATTCAGAAGATGCTAACATGATCTTTACCACAGGTCAAGATCTGACAACACAACTCTAATACGATCAAATTAAATGGCTAAACTGGTCAAACAGTTATCATCTTGCTTCTCTGCTAAAATGAGGGTTAACAGCCAACTCTCCAATGAAATCCAATCAGAATATCCCTGGGAAGCCAGCAGCTACAGGATATGCTCTACTTTCTATACAAAAATATTTTTTAAAAACGCCAGTTCCACAGTGTAAGTGGCATATCTATAGAGATACCAACAGAATCACTTTGAAACAGAGAAAGGTTATTTCAGAAGAAATACCTTGTTGTCACTGTTGGCTATTTGGTTGACTTCAGGTTTGTTGTTCTTTTTATTTTCTAGGCTCTCTTTTCTGAAGAGAAAAGAATACAAGAAACCAAGTAACCATATGACTACATATAAAAGTGCTAATCAAGATTCTGAATCAGCAGAGCCCCAATGAGGATGGGACTTAATTGGGAACAACACTAACAGCAAAAGCACAGCACAATCCAAACTCAGAGCTTCCTGTTCATCTAATGCAATGGATTCATTAAACAGATCACCTTATTAAAATTCTCATCCAAGAGCTAATCAGCATTGAATGCATCATTTATTTTATGACACCAAAACGAACTGCAGTGATTCTTTAAGCACGTCCATTCTCAGCTATGGGGCTGAGAGCCAAGGGTCTGGCTTCAGTCCAAGAGTCCCTCCCTCTTTGGTGCGTACCACATGGTCACCCACAATCACTGCAAAGCAGCAATATGAGACTGCAGCTCCTGAGAAGCACTCCTGAGGGCACACCAGGTCTCCTGGGCCACTGGGCTCCTTCTGCACCTCTGGGAAAATACTGCAGGTGGAAATAGGGTTACCTGGCAATCTTTTTCCTTTCTTTTTCTTCGGCTTCTTCTTTTTGGGCAGTGTTCAAACTTTCAGCATCAGCCAAGTTGTCTACAGCAATGGCCAAGAAGACATTCAGTAGAATATCTAATTTGAAAACTTTAAGGGAACAACACATTTCTGAACATAATTATGTCGGGTTCACAATGGAAATGTCACACTCCTCTGTGTTCTGGGAGGTTGGTGGCAGATGACTGTCCTTGTAAAAGTAGAGGACTAAAGCCCTGCTTTAAAACGAAACAAAGTAAAACAAAACAAAACCCAACACAACACCCAGAAACCTGTGTAAGACTGAAAAGAGGTGAAAGTAATATTCACTGAAAACCTGTAAATGGCAACATTTCTTGCTTGTGTGTTTCAATACATCTATAAATCTATGGCTGACAGACACTGTACGCAGCAATCTATGCACACATATGGTAGAATTAAAAAGTACTCTGTGTTTGCTTTGTTTTGTTTTAGACACATACCACAAAACACAGACTCAGGCTATGCTTTTCAAACCTGACTCCCTCAGAGGCCACATATTATTCAATGATGATCCTGTCACATAAAACAGTATCAGACATTTTCTTCCTAAATAGCCTTCAAGGCCTGTGATTCATTTCTTCCCTCTACAAACACTGACTGAAGAGAACCTCCTGTGAGATGGTGCTATCTTCTCAACAATCCAATCATGACTAGACCTTTGATTACTATGGCTGGAACTATTTTTACAAATAGTAGAGGGTTAAGTGAACAAGTTTTCAGGTTTCTTTTGGCTGTCTCTATGACATATGTGTGTTTTCCTTAAAAATTTTTAAAAGCATCTTGATGAAGCTTCTCAAATTAGGAGATGGCTGTTTCTTATGCAACTGCATTAAGAATAGTTTTGAAATATACAGGGGTCAGAGGTGAATAAATGAGAAGACCTCATGCTACGATGAAATCTCTCTCTTTGACATGCAGCCACCTGTAGGCAGAATTATGGGAGGCCAGAGTTCCTGAGACAAAAGCTGCAAACATCCTGGGCAATATGAATCTCAAGCGGGGTGCTGAACAGACAAACCTAACAGGGGATTAAGAGTGAGATCTCTGGGGAGGGGGGTATTGCACTTGACTAATTCTATTCAAGACTCTAAAGAGGACAGAAACATGAGTAAATTATATTAAGACTTTCAAATTGCCTTTGACATGCTGTGCTAATTTTTAACTGAACCTGCAATGAGATGAGCTGAAGGAAACAATTTCCTGGGTTATGGAAATGGCTAGGTTACTCATTTTAAGGACACATCTGTCGGGCATGAGTTAATGATGGCTTAGATCAGAGTCACTATGTACCTGTCAACAAAGAAATAACCACCTCTCTAGCCCCGCAGTGATACTGAACTTTTGGTAGTGGAAGAAATAATGGACAAATAAATCACAGGAAAGTCTTATAACAGATCATTTCCAAGAGCAAAAACCCATCATATACCTTTGGGGGCATTATCCAGGCCCTCCTCAACCTCAGTGTGCTCTGGAATTCATTCAAAAACCTCTACAAAGCAGCTCTGATGTGCCAGGCCCTGTTCTAGGTACACAGGACCCAGTGGGGAAACATGACAAAGTGGAGCCTCTATTCTAGATGGGGACACAGAATATAAACAACTCCTTAGGTATCTTAGATAGTGACAAGAGCTACCGATAAAGTCAACATGGAACTCAAGAGAAGTAGCTGGGGGAACACTTCTCTGCAAGTTTGTGGCCCAAACAGTTGATCAGGAACAGAGAGAAAGAGAAAATCTTGACCACTCATTTAAGAAACATTCAACAAAAGCCACCTATGTGCAGGATCCTGTCCCATCCTAAGAAATGTGACTGTGACAAGGAGGATTCTTGACACAAGAAGCTATCATCTAGCATTGGAGACAGGGAAGTTAGAGATGGGAAAAAAACCTGATGAGCTCAGTGGCTTCTAGGCAAGACACACAGCAGAGGTGGCTTCCTGGAGAACTAGAATTGACTCAATCAGAAATGAGTCAAGAGATTAGCAGAATGTATACTTGCTGAGATGAGGGTTTTCACAGAAATCTCATGGCGTAAGAGATCGGTCTTCAGGAATACAGAGCAGCTTTGTACTAGGCTGTCCATACTCAAAAAATTCACCAAAGAAGATTACAGGGAAAACAGCTAGAGGAATCTGAGACTCTTGAATTAGAACTCTTTCAATTGGAAAGGTAAAACAAAGAGAGAATCTTCCTAAGTTTCAAGAATTGCTCATTCATCCCAACATTTATTAAGGTGCTTTGCATGCCATACTGCATGCTAGGTGGGGAGTGCCTGCACTCTTGGTCCTAATACAAAATAAATAAAACCAAAGATAATAGGATCATGAAAAATCTGACCAAGGTAAATAAATAGACCTGATGGCCAAGATCAGAAGTCTTGAATTAACGAGTGCTCTCAGCAGGGAAGAAGAGTAAAACAAGTCAGAAAAGTTACACGGAAGGATATAAAAGTTAGAAGGTGGATGTAAGAGTTGGCAAAGTAAAATTAGCTTCATGGGAGTGCAGAGCAGGTTATTGAAGATGTCTTCATATTGGCCATGAAGTGAGAAAGATGCAGTCCTTACCTTAAGTGGCCTTAAGTGACAAAGTCCTGGCCTTCAGTGACAAAGATGCAGTCCTTACCTTTCAACGACACCTGCCTTTGCCCGAAGCTACTCCTGAGGACCTGTCACTTCATGCATGGGAGGCACGATGCCAAGCAGAATGACTGGTACACATATGCTGTCTCCCCAGCAGCCTGCACATCTCAAAGCCTGCCAGGCCTCGGGTTATACTATGCTGCCCCCAGGACAGTCCCACGGAAGGAAGGAAGGAAGGAAGGAAGGAAGGAAGGAAGGAAGGAAGGAAGGAAGGAAGGAAGGAAGGAAGGAAGGAAGGAAGGAAGGAAGGAAGGAAGGAAGGAAGGGAGGGGGGAGGGAGGGAGGGAGGGACTGTGTTGAGCTACTGAGATAAAAGCATTCCCCTCCTACCACCATTCCCACAGGGGAAATCAGCGAGACAAAAACCAAGACAACGACAATAATGACAACAATGACGACGAAGCCCCTGGTGGACCCAAAGGATACAGTTACCACAGATGAAGAGGATGATGAAGTAGATGCAGACAATCATTCCTGAAGAGGACGGGCCTCCGTATGCCATGATGCCATCGTACATCACAGCGTTCCAGTCTTCGCCAGTCAGAATCTAAGATGCCGAAACCACCATCAGACAGCAGGAAGAGTCACAGCTCACAGCTGCTCCCTGACAGCACCTCAGGGCTCCCTACATCTGGTGTAGGTTACTTCTCCCACACCAGTTAGCGCTGAGTAAATTCAGTGTTATCCCGCAGAACTTTCAAAACATTATTTTGAATTACATAAATAGATGAGTTAATTCTTCTAGTAAAAAAAATCTTTGCACTTTTTTACAACACCCTAGCCCAGTTTTTGTCCCCTCCCCAGGGTGCACAATGCTGGCATGTGTCTCACTGGGACGTTACATGCATATATGCACGTCTCAAGAGAAGAGGCAGTGGTGTCTTCTAATATTTGAAGCATAACATCTGTCATACAGTAAGTAATCTTCTGCAACTGTTTATTTCCCTGTTCAGCAAAATTCCCTGGAGACCCCCCTGTATCAGTAAGTTCATCTCATTCTTTTAACTGCTGCATTGTACTCCACACAGCTAAATAACTGTGGAAACAGAGGACTGTATCTGTGGGTTTTTAGAAGCAAGGAATTCTAAATGTCTTCCAAGTTTACGGAAAGAAATTCATCTTTTCTATTTGTGATAATGGAGAATTCAGACAATCTTAAGATAGAATCAGGTGAAAGTGGATAGCAATTTATAAAAGCACTACCTTCCACAGGAAGAGGGCTCCTTTATCTCTACTGGAACTAGAGATTTTAAAATCAAATTGTTATGACTCACAATCAAATAGCAACATGGGCGAGTGATTAGAAAAGATAGAGGCATTCACAGATAGGGAGCTTTGAGTGGCTCTTTCGAAAAGACACTCTTCATCACCCCGGAAAGCTGCAATGAGATGCCATGTTTACCTGTCAGACAGTGACAGCTACTAAGTTTGAACACCCACCTGGTGAAAGGGAGGGAGGCAATGGGCAGCCTCTGCAGTGCTGATTGCCAGTGAATTAAAATAACTGTACGGAGGGCATTTTGGCGACAAAGGTGAGGACCACCTTTTGACTGGCAATTCCACTTGGGGGAAATCTGTCCTGCAATCTAATCTCACACACGTGTCCCATTTGTTCAAGATCACTGAGTGGAACCCTGTTTATATGACCTTGTACTGGACACAACTAAATATCCAGTAAAGGACTGCGTACATAAATTGTGGCAATCGCCCTTTTGACTTGACCGATTCTGTTCTGTTATGTCACATTTGGTTTTACTCTCTTCCAAAAAAGTAATAAGAACCGTGGGAGCAATGAAACCCAAAATGTGTAATAGCCATGGTACAAAAGACAGGAAAAGAAAGTGCTCCAAACTATATAACTGCATGTATATTTAAGTGTATAAGATAGAAAATGATATCACAGAGTTTTATTGGATCAATCAACAGAACTGTTTGCAGTATCATTGATGGAATGTCCACTTTACAAGCTTTAATTTTGTGACTTGAACAATTATTTCTAAGATGACAATATGTAATCCATTAACTAGTGATTTCCTACTGTTCATTTTTTTTTCTGTAAATCTGTATAACTTGTACCCCTTCTCTTTTTTTTCTTTTCTCCTTAAATAAAATTTTAAAAAAAAGGAAAAAAAAAGAAAAAAAATAAATTGTGGCAATCCAAACCATCGAATATATGCACCATTTAAAAGAAAGAAGCAGCCTTTTTATAGACCAAGCAGAAGGCATCTAAGGACATCTTTTTCTTTATTTTAATTTAAAAAATTTTTCTGGTTTTATGAGCCAGGGTCTTGGTGTGTAGTTCCAGTTGGGCTTGAACTCATTACGTGGTCCAGGCTGACCTCAAACTTGCTATAATCCTGCCTCAGCCTCCTGGGTGCTAGGACTACAGGTGTGTACCACCGCATCCAGCAAGGACACTTGAAAGTGATTAAAAATGCAAAACGGTACGTGGAGTGACTTCCATCTGTGTAATTCACTCATAGGCAGGTGGCCAGACGTAGTTACCACTATGAGCAAATATATATATTTGAGAGTACACAAAAATGTTTAATGATAGTTGCCTCCTAGAAGAAGTCAGTGGCTAGAGGGCAGAACTGTCATTTCGTATTCTTTTGTTGATCCTTAAATCTTGTGCCATAGGCATGCATTACAAAAAAGGGGGGTAAAAAAGAAACAAATTTCTGAAAGAAATCAGAAAAATGAATGACTGACCAGGAACCAAATTTTAAGCATAATTCAAAAACAAAGTCATGGCCTAAAGCAGTAATTTTAACCACTTCAATGACCATACAAGAAAGAAGTTTACAGATCATTTCTTCCAATCTCTGTTCCTTCAGAAAAGGGTAAGTGGCTTCTCTAAGGTGACTGAGCTGGGAACAGAAAGAGCCCCCACAGAATCCACACACACATCCCCTGTCCTTCCTGCCACACCTCCCTGTCTGTGCAGCAGCCTCACATGCTCACAGCCCTTACACAGGAGGAGACGACATGCGCAGCTCAGAATCGGACAGGTGGAGGGGCGCTGTGCTTGGAGTGCCAGCATCCAGCTGTCGAACTCCTGCTCCCTTCCAACTCGGCACCCACGGGGGCTGTGTTGGGCTGGGAACGTAGCTCAGCAGCACAGCTCAGCGCCTGCCTGGTGAGCATGAGACTGTGAGTTTGACTCACAGCACACACACAAAAAACTGTGTGTCCTCACCACCTCAAGCAGGGAGGACAGAGCAGGCAGAAGGCTGTTCCAGCGCTCACCCTGACTCCTCTGACTATGCACCAGAGTATCGGGCTTCCCATTTTACTTCTTTGCATAAATCTATCATAACTGAATTATAAACTGTCTGCTATAAAAAATTAGCAAGGAACATGAAGATTTTACAATCTGTTCCATAGAAACTTTACAAAATCAAAACTTTTTGGTTTACTATTTTTTAATAGAGCTAGTAATATTAGAAATTACATCGTGTTAAATAGCTAGCTGAGGAGGATGCAAAGTAAATTAACTTGCATGGTGCAAAATTTATCGAAGTATTATTAAACAGATGATTAACAAAAACAGAATCCTTCTGTTTTCCTGAGCTTTAAGTGCACAGGAGGACGGGCATTCAGCAGCACGCTCCCCTGCCTGGGTGGGGAAGGACTCACCTGGAACACTGTCAGAAGCGCTTGGGGAAAGTTGTCAAAAGTGCTTCGCTTGGTTTGCGTTTCATCGAAATTAAACTTGCCGCCAAACAGCTGCATCCCAAGCAAGGAAAAGATGATAATGAACAGAAAAAGCAAAAGCAACAGTGAAGCGATGGACTTCATGGAGTTTAACAAGGATGCCACCAAGTTGCTCAGAGAAGTCCAGTGCCTACAAGTCAAGACGAGGGTGTGAGTTGAGTCCCATTCAGCACAGAGCAGACCTTCACCTAGCCAGGGCTAGGACTGCTCGCCAACTCCTGCTCTAAAGCACCTGCAGCAGGCTTCCGTTTCCTTACCTGGTCACTTTGAAGATTCTTAAGAGGCGTACACACCGAAACACAGAAATCCCCAGAGGAGACATGATTTCCAGCTCCACCAAGATGGTTTCGGTAATCCCACCACATACCACGAAGCAGTCGAACCGATTGAAAAGAGACACGAAATATGCCTGGAGACCCAGACTGTACATTTTTATCAGCATCTCACAGGTGAACAGGGCCAAGAGGACTTTGTTGGCAATATCTGGAAAGAAAAGGGGCGCCCATCCTCAGGGTCTCCGTGCGCAAGGCACTCAGCCTCCCCTTTCCTTTGGCATCTCTCTCTCTCTCTCATCAATCCCCACAGGAAATAATCCGTGACTTGTTCCTTTCTTTGCCACTGTACCCATGACAGAAATATGGCATTAACGCAGATGGTCTGTTTCTCTGTTAGGTTCTGGTTCTGGTACTGCTGCTACCTAGATGTACAAATCTGGAAAAGTTATTTGATTTCTCTGGGCCTCAGTTTTGCTGACTGTAAAATGGGCACAGGTACCTTATCATATAATCTCTGGAGATTTCAAGCACTATGGTTCTGCATTTAGACCATCATATTATGCTTTTTTCTTTCAATCACACACACAACACATACACAAAAATCCATGTTTGTTCTCCATAGCACCATGATAGTGGTTACTTACCAATATCATATTTAATATGAGGGAAAAAATACCAACAGGCTCAAGAGGTAGAGGAAATACATGTAGGAAAAGACTTCCCAAGAGCTCAAAACTGTCAAATGCAGAATAAGCTATCTCTGGAACAATGCCCCACATCACACTTGTGAGTCTTCAAAGTAAAGGAACCAAACTAAGTTGAAAATACTAAGGGGAAGGTACAGCTTCCAACAGGGTAAGGAGATGGTCCTTCAAAGGCTCCTCAACCTTAGACTGTCTCAGGGTTAGGACAACAAGATGCCTGGCATTCACTGACGTCAGTGTGCTACACCATACAGCACACAATGCACCCCTGCTCCAGGGCTTGCCTGAATCGGGATGGCCCCAGCATCTTCCAAGATAGTCCCCACTAGCAATGCTCTGATTCTTCACTCCACATCCACCGACAATAGAGCAGTTCGCCACAGGGATCTCTAGTGTAGAACAAAAAGAGGATGGCTTCTGCTCGTACCTTGAATCTGTGTCAACCAGTCGGGCTGATTGTAGTGCTCAGAGGAAATGGTTAATGTGTTGAGAAACACCAGGACAATAACCAGCCAGTAAAACGTGACAGACTTCACAGCAGCCCGACATCTTCTACGGCTGAATCTGTTCCAGCGACGCCAGCGTCGGCTGAAAGATAAGCAACCATTACTCCCTCGATGACAGATACAGCATCTCAAAGTCCAATAAACCTTACTAGAAGGAATCAGCCATTCCCTGTAGAGGAACGAACTGGGGTGTGGGCTCAGGAAGGAAAATGTGAACTAACAGCACAGAAATGAACAGACTTCATAACATAACTTATGTTGGCCTTAACAGTTTTTTAAAAGTATAATATTGACTTGGTCAGGCTCAATTTCTTCCCTATAGCTACAAATAACTCCAGAATCATCTGTCATTCTGATGCAGTCTTCGAGTGGGTTAGAAGATACAGATCTTCACAGAATCTTGTGCAGATCCAAAACTGCACCTGCATACACACACGGCTCATGCGCTGCCAGATGGTACATGAATCTGCAGTGGCATTGGTGGGGAGCCACTTAGCTTAGACACGCATCTCTCACAGCATCTCAGTCACCATGTGGAATCCATTGAGCAGCAAAGTGCTTTAAGACCATCACTTTCTTTTTAGGAAACCTTCTGACCCTTTCTTCAAACTCTGAAGTTTTTCTGGAGCCTGGCTATTGTCAAAGCTGAGTAGGACATGAGTCTTCAGACTGAGTCATCAGGTGCCCTTTATAACTAGTAATCCTCAAAATACACCTTTAGGAGAAGAACCAATATTGAATCATGTTTTCACAGAAATAAAATGAGCTGAGCCAAACAGACAAGTAGTATGTCCCCTGCCTACCTTCAGTTCCTGTTTGTCACTAGGGAGATTTCCTCCTTTGGCCTCTTCATGGAAAACCTCCCCTGCCACAGGGAAGTGTCTCATGACACGTGCTGAGAACTTGGATCCCAGGGAGAAGTCAGCTCCTCTGGGCCATGCTGCATCAGGAACAGGAATGGGCACTTCCTTTAGGGGCCTGACTCAAGGGGACTCCAAGTTGTGTCCCAGCTGCAGCCCTGCAGCTTTGGCTGACTCAGCCATGTAGCTATGCTTTTTTTTTTTTTTTTTAAGTATGCAAAGAAAGAGTTGGGCCACATCCTTACCAAGACTTGGATCAAGCAAGGTATATTTTATTATTGATCTTGCTGTGCAATTGGTAATTAAAAAGCAGCAGAAACGTAATGACTGTGACAAAAAACTACAGAGGACACTGAGATTTCATAGCTAGGGCTCTCATGGGAGGCATAATTCAGTACATAGAGTGTTCTGACCTGAAAAGGCCCAGCCTTGGATGCAGTGCAGTCTCTCCTGTACTATGGTGACAAGGCACAAGCGTCTCTTATGTCTAGGGGACCTCAGCGTCCTATCTCCTAGAATCCACATCTTGCCCCTTGCTGGGTTCTCAGTGCCCAGCTGGTCAGGCCTGTTCTCTCAGGAGCCCAGTGTGCCAGGGCACGATGCACCCAGCGCTACACAGATGGAGATGAGAAAGGCACAGTCCTATCATCTCTGCCACTAAAAAGCACACAGGGTTGTAGTAAAAGACAATTACAAATCCACACCAAGTGCTCATCCAAGATGCAGGTGCAGGAGCCAGAAGGAAACTACAAATGCTCTTTATGTTAAAGAAGGCTTCTCTGAAAAGCAGAGATTTGGGCTAGATGAACAAGAATTACTCCAGAGGTAGGTGGAAGGCCAGTCCAGCCACAAGAAACGACATTGCGAAAAGCACTAAACGTTCAGTGGGGAGGAGAGGACTAGCACCTCTGAAACCAAGAACAGTCCAGCATAGTGGGGACACAGGACGGGCACCACAAGCTGAGCAGAGGGTGATCCAGGGGTCAGATTATAAAGGTGTTTCCATGCTCCCTGGCAACACTGAACTGCAGAAGAGGTTTTACATTTTTAAAAAGTCAGGTTTGAATGTAATTCATATATGGTGAAATTTAGTCTTTGGGGTATACACATCAAGAACATTTTCATTACTCAAAAAAGTTCCTTTTCAGCCTTGGTAATCAATCTACCACTCTACTCCCCGGCCCAATGGCCATGGATTTGTTTGTTGTTCCTACTGTTTTGAGTCATCCAAGATGCCACAATAAACAGAATCATATAAGATACAGCCTTTTGAGACAGGCTTCTCTTACTCATCAAAAGTACTTCTGAAATTCATCTCCTGCTACTCTTGTAAAGGGGCCGTGGGTTGGAAGGTACTAACTCTGCTATTCACGCACAAACTGGGCAAGAAAAAGCAGCATGCTTTTCTGAGCCTCGATGTTCTCGGCTGGAAAATGGGGAAGATAATCAATCAATTCTACCATTGCTAGTACTATTTCCATATATGGATAAACCATAATTTGTCTGCCCATCCACCACTGATGGGCATTTGGTTTATGTTCAGTTAGGAGCAATTATAAATAAAGCTGCTATAAACATTCAGGTAAAAATTTTACCTAGGCATATATCTTCAATTCTCTTATATTAATAAAAGTGGGGTTGCTAGGCCATATGACAGATGTACACATAAACTTTTTAAGAAACCAACAATTTTTTTAAAAATAGTTTTAACACAACCAACATTAGCTATTGATCAGCATCACCACAGAAGTTGGCATTTTCAAGTATTTAAATTTGACATGTTCTTACAATCACGTAGCGATATCTGCAATTTTATTGTTTGTATTTTCCTAATGACCAACTGTCAATTCATGTGCTTATTTACCATTCATATCTTTTCTTTGGAGCCATTCTTCTGTTGCTGTTTTAACTGAATTGTTTTCTTATTCTTCATGTTACTTTTATACATTATTCCTTATACATTATAAATACCAGTCTTTTATCCAATATGGTTTGCAAGTATTTTTATCTAAGCCTGAAGCTTATCTTTTTATTTTATAATAAAATAAAAGTAAAAGTTTTAATTTTGATGAGAATATATCAAATTTTTCTGTTATGATTTGTGGACTGAGAACTGTATTTTAAGAAAACTGCCTTAACCAAGGTTATAGAGATTTTCTCCTAGAAGTTTTATAGTTTTGGGTTTAATATTTAGTTTAGTGTCTGTTGTATATAGCCGTGAAATGATTTTAATTAAAAAATCACATTTACATGGAAATGCATAAGCATATAGTTCAATTAGCTTTACAAAATGAAGATGGAATCTACATTAAGATCAACAAAGTGAGTATTAATAATACCTTCTTGACTCTTTTCCATGGAAAGATTTTTTTGGTTGATTTTTGTATTTTGCAGTATAGCCAAAAAGTGACAAGAAACAAGAAGTATCTGTCTTAGAAAAATGACTGAAAGATTAATTGAGAGGCAAGACATTGTTCATTACCTTATCTTTTATTTACATATTTACTTATTGTTGGTTCCAGGGATCAAACTCATAACCTTGCACTTGCCAGGCAGGCGCTTGTGCTGCTGAGCTAAACTCCCAGCCCAATGTTTGTTCATTACTGTGTCCTTATGATTTGTAAAAGCTGTTCCTGCTATCTGCTCCCCTGAGGCAGGTGTAATGTTTAATGGACTGAGTAAAACTCAATGTCCACATTGCAATTCATGAAGTAAAACTTAAGTTTAGAGTAAGTCTATGTAATAGTAAGAATGCAAAATACAGGCTAAAGAAAAAAATAGAGGATACTGACCTGAGTTTGGATTTTGAGATGGCTTGACTGCAAGAAAAGAAAAACATATTAAGATTCACACTGGGAAGGCTTGAGCACACACTCCCCCTTGGCTTCTGCAGCAATGTGGTAAAAGCCATGCATGGAAGCCCGACCTTGGCATCTGCAAGGGCTGCAGGAGGCCAGCAGGGTTAAAAGTAGAGCAGAAGTCAAGGTGCCACCAGGGCAAGGCAGGCAGGCTCAGGACCATCAAGGCCCAGGCAAGAGAAGGTGCTTAGCTACATTCCCTTCCCAGCCCCAGAGACAGGTATTGCTGCTGGGGTGGGGGTGGGAGGTTCTTCTCTTGCCACCCCAATCTGAAGCCAGAAGGGTCTCTCTTCCCTGTAGCTCAGCCATTCATCTCAACACCAGCATCTCCTGCTGCTGTTGTAAAGGAGAACAGAGGCTACATCATTTCATAAACTCTGCTCTCTGCCATTATACATCATTTTTATGAAACTGCCAAGAATAAGATAGAGTACACTTAAAGTCTACACCTGTAGTCTACAGACGTAAGACCTACAGAAAACAAGCAGGAAGCAGCCAAAACAAAACAGCATGGGGCTTGCCAAAGCCACATGCTGCACTGTGGTCCTCCCATTGCTGCAGCCAGAATCCTCTAGAAAAGAGCCCCTCGGTATTAACGGGATGGTATCATCCAGGATTAGAAAGGGTGGTGCGGGGCCCGTTACAGAGGTGCTGTGAGGAGAGGAGGGAAGGGCCCCCCTGACCCTGGGCAAAGAAAACCTTAGGTGGGTGGCACATTCTAGTCAGCAGCTCTGCCATTCAAGCTCTTTCTCCAAAGCACGGATGCCAAACCCGACCGGAAGGAGAATTCAGCCTTTACCCCCACCGCCGGCACCCAGAGGGGCCCGTCTTGGCTGCGCCTCTTCTTTTCCACCAGCACCTAGTGGACACAGCAGGTTGCTGGGTTAACTGCACACTTCCCGGCTTCACCTCGGCAGGGATTACTCACAGGAAGAGGCCTGAGGAACACTGTGGGGCCTTGCACAGGAAGAAGGGAGTTGAAGGGTGGGAGGGAGCCCACCCGCTTTGTGCACCTAAGGCCACAGCCCCTGGGGGCACCACTGCAGCCTGGGGATGTCTGCTCCTCCTAAGTTCCTCAGAGATGAAAGGAGAGCTGGGGCAGCAAGTACCTCCACACTCACCAGAGACTTCTGCAGCAGCCCTTGGTCTCGCCTTCGCCACTCACATTCTCTGTGTTCACAGATTCAGTCTCACTGGTGGGCATGCTAGCTGTGGGGAGAAGAAAGGGCTTCAGACGGCACATTAGGGTGCTGCACCCCTGGGAGAAGGCCAGACACAAACCTGTGGGAACTGAGGAGTCGGGCAAAAAGGGCCTCGGCCACAGGCAGAGCTGCAGTCAGGCGAGCCCACTGCCCTTGCTTCTACCAACTGCCAGGAAAGCCTAGGGTCTGCCTCCAGAAGGCAATCCTGGTGGCCTAGATGCTTCCCAAGAAAACCAACCTGGAGGCTAGGCTAGATCCTGTCACGGGGCCTGACCCAGGCTCACTGTCCTGACTCCACCTCGCACTGAGAAGCTGTCCAAACACTTCAGTTACAGGTGCATCTTCACTGGCCCGAACAGGAGCAACACAGAGCAGCTGTGATGAAATCTAGTACTTTACAAATAAATGATCTTCAACATACTGAAGGAGGAGAGCTGTTAGGAAGCGAAGGCAGTGCAAGAAGTCTCGTTTAAAAGGTGGAAGCTCTGCCTATTCCTGGCTAATTGATCTGGTGCCTAAGTTCTGCTGAGGTTATAAGGCTAGTATGGAGGCCCTTTCCAAATAAGCTGATACCAAGGCACAGATAAAAGAGCGTTAGGGATAGGAGAATGGAAGGGTTTTGCCAAACAGGAAACAGAGGTGAGTGTTGCCTGGGTCCCAGGGTCACTGAGGTTTCCAGGACCTGTAAGTCTTCTTTCCCACTGGCAAAGTTCTGAGCAGCAGTGGAAGAAATGTGGAAATTTATCCACAATTGTCTGGAGGTCCAGGGACTGCCCCCTCCTGGCCGCTGTCTAGCTCATGGGCATCTTTTCTTCTCCGCTTGACTCGATTCTAGAGACATCATAAACACATGCTGGAAGCCAGGCAGTGAGAGAAGTGTGAAGGCACAGAGAAGAACAGAATACTACACCCACCTGGAGGAAAGGCAAGGAAAGGTAACCCTCCAACAGACTCCCATTAACTGTGGAAAGAGCTAACTCAGAGTCGGTACAAGAAGCTATGGAGTAAGCAATGGCTGATTCTGCTCTGGGGTGAGAGAGCAGATGGCTACAGACCCAAATGTGGGAGAACTGCCCAAACGCACTATTTTTTTCCAATGTAGTTGTGAATTGTAGACAGTTTTTATAGGTCTCACAGTGTCAACAGGAAAGTCTTCCTCTATGGGCAGGTGGCTCCTCAAGCTTCATTTGCAACAAGTGACCATGGTGCCTGAAGAGCTGTGGTGGACACTCTGAGGCCCAGCCCCACGCTGGAAAGGGAAGAGCTTCTGTCCAGGAGGTTGTGTCATGGCTGACCACACTCAGGTGAGAGACAGAGGTGATAGTCAACAACCACACAAAGCCACAGAGGGGCAAGTCCTCTGAGGGTACTGAAGGAGATCTGCAGACATTCCCACCCCTGCCTGAGTCTGCCTCAGAGGGACCCTGGTCAGCTTTGTCCAAGCAAAGTGTAATTACAGATTCACGCTACATTGCCGGTACTTTCTTCCTCAGGTTCAAAGAAACTGACTGCAAACCTGCATTTACTTTTTTACTGCTCTGTGGAAAAAAAAAATAGGGAGAAAAAAATCAAAGCTCACCATCCCATCCTGGAAAATCCTTGAATAAAAATCCTTCTTTAGGACAGACAGACACGTGTGCACACACACAGAGACAGAGCCAACTACACATCCTCTCTCCAGGGCTACTCCATGCTCTGACCCCAGCAAGTTGACCAGAGGACTGTCAAAGTCAATGAAACTGGTTACTGCTGAATCATTTCACAGCACTGCCCTTCCCTTCAGAGGCAAGGCAAAGAAAATCACAGCAGGAAACCCTTTTAAAATCCAGCCAGGATTTGTGAATGTGCTTATTACAGTGACTGAGCTACCACAGGTGAGGGCAGTGTAACACACCAGGAACTGAAGGCCCTGGTCCTGCCTGTCTCTCCCCAGGCTGTGGGCACCTCTTATAAACTGACGGTGCTCATTCCACAATCTTGATAATCATTTCCATCTCTAACTGTTAAATAGCTCATGATTGCAATATTAATCACATGAGAAAATCACTCACATGTACCCACAGTGAACATTTGAACAGACTAAATCTCTGTGGCCCATTTGGTTTTACTCTCTTCCAAAAAAGCAATAAGAACCGTGGGAGCAATGAAACCCAAAATGTGTAATAGTCATTGTACAAAAGAGAGGAAAAGAAAGTGCTCTAAACTATATAACTGCATGTATATTTACATGTATAAGATAGAAAATGATATCACAGAGTTTTATTGGATCATTGAACAGAACTGTTTGCAGTATCATTGTTGGAATGTCCACTCTACAAGCTTTAATTTTGTGACTTGAACAATTATTTCTAAGATGGCAATATGTAATCCATTAACTAGTGATTGCCTACTGCGCATTTTTTTCTCCGGTAAATCTGTATAACTTGTACCCCTTCACTGTTTTTTTTTTTTCTTTTTCTTTCTTTTCTTTTCTCCTTAAATAAAATAAAAAAAAATCTCTGTGGCCTTTTTACTCTTTGGGGCTATGGTTTACACTGATACTAGCAGTGTTGTTGCATTTCATTTCTTAAAGTTCCATTTTTCAAGTGATCTGACTGAAACGGATAAATTCCATCCTGCCTGTGGAAGGAGTACAGGATACTGCTCTGCATTTCTGGCTCTGTGCTAATTATTAGTGGCTGAAAGGTAGTGGCTGTTCTTCAGACAAGACAAGAAATAAACCCAACTCTCCAGAGACAGGGTGAGGCCGAGAACCTCCTTGCCCCAAGTTCAGGCTGCACTAAAGGTAAAGTGGGTCCTGTTGTCTGACCTGTGTCCTCAGGTGTGGTAGAGGACAGTGCCTGAGCCCAGACTCTCAGTGAGGCTAGATCTAAATTTAACCCACATTTGGGACCTGGCTTCTCTGTGCCTCCATTTCCCTACCAATAGGGAGCACCTATCTCTTGGGTTGTAGGCAGATCTCAATGCGAGGAGGCAATCAACAAGGCCCACAAATGAAGAATCTGACAATTACCCCAGGAAGACTCTCTTAGAGCTTTAGGAGAGCAGAACGACCCTGGCTCAGGTCAAGTCACCCTGCTATTACTGTCCTGAAGGGTCTAAGAGTGGATACTCTTCCATCCAAATCAGCTTTAGTCACTAATCTTCGTTTGTATCTTTTCTGTCTTAAAAAATTAGCCATTGCCTAATTCATCCTGTACTAAAGAAAGTAACGCTCTTCTTGTAATTACTTGATACCTACAGAGCCACCGACATATAAGCAAACCTATTCCAGAATGATGTCACCAGGGCTCCAGGGGAGGAGTGCAAGGGGAAGGATGAGGCAATGCGATAGAACTGGGCCACCTCTTCTGGCTCTGGAAACAGACCTTGATCTGGCCTTTAATCTGACAAAAGGAACTTTGCTCAGACAGGGCTCTAGAAGCTTAAGAACTACTCCAGCAGTTCCCTAATAGAGGACACAATTCCTTTTCCAGAGCACTGAAAAAATTAGTCTCAGTAGCTGGAACCAAAAACCCTATTGTACATTAAAACATTTTACCCTTCACTTGTACCTGAATTCACTTTTTAAACATTAATAAATCAATGTATTTCATTTTGCTTGGCCCCAATAGGATCTTATCTGCATTTTTTAAAATTAGGAATAAAGCCATCATTTACTGTCAGTATTACAAGGGGCTTCTGAAGATACAGGACCAAACTCTGATATTTCAGATGAGAGAACGGACCGACCTGCTCTAACACAGCCCAGACCCAGAATGCTCTCCCGAGCTTCTCTCGGTACTCCTTCCACAGGCCATGCATCCGAGGTTTTGGGATATCCGTAAATACAGTGGTGTATACTTAAGTGCTGGCATATACACTAATATATACTTAAAATTTCACAAACCAAAAAGTTTCAAAGCCAAGCAAGTCTATCATTCATTAGCACTGGTTCTTTATTAGCTCCAGACACCTGGAAAATAAGCAGACCACATCCAGGAGGTCTACAAGCAGCACAAATAGCAAGCTGTACTGGTGACCACTGTGAGTTTATAAAAATGAAAACAAAGAGTTAAAAAATTCCGTAAAAGTAAACCAATTGGCAAGCTTCTAAAACAAACACCCTCGCCTGAGTGCCTCAGGCATCGTGACTGTGCAGCCCCTAACAGCACTCAGCATGACCTGCTGACAAGTGGCCAGACTTCATCAAGGTGCAGGAAAACCCCTCACTCAGGCCCTGTCAGTGTCAGTCCATCCTGTAGAAATACATCAGGGCCGTCGGAATGGGGAGAAGCTTCGAGCTGTTTTCCTTCCACACTCCAGAGAACCGTACAGCTCTGACAAGGAAGTTTCTTTCTCTCTGTAAATTTAAAAACTGTTTCCATTGAGTCTGGGTGGAACCAGGCCTGTCACCAATAATGAATGCTGACTTGCACTACAATTTACCCACTGAAGATCTGGGGAGGCTCACGGTCTGTGCTTTGCAATCTATGCAGGCCTGGAATTTCTGGGACTGCTCCAGGATAGACTCCCGTGCTTAGAATGTGGGAGCACTGTGAGGACCCTGGGAGCTGCTGTGGTAGAGAAGATGCTGCCTGATAGAAGCCTGGTACTATGGATTGCAGACAAGTTCCCCAGGTCACTGTGGCACAGGCAGCCTGGGTTGGGCCCCACCTGGAATTCTCTTGGAGGCCAGGGGCCACATTTGTGGGTTAGACTGTTTACGGGGCCTGGATGCCCCAGTGGGTGAAGTCTAAACTGGAAAGGAAAATACACTGTTTCTCAGACCAACACAACAATCTGAATTTTCACCACCTATGGAGATTTCTCCACCTACCGTCACTCCAAAGGACAGCAGAATTCTCAACCAATCCTGCTGCAGTTGTGAATTCAGAGGCAAATCAACACACACACACGCACACACACACACACGCACACACAAATGCACATGCACATGCACAGAAAGAAAGAAAATGAGAATCAGAGAACAGTTCTAAGTTCAGGTCTAAGCAGGCAGCCTCGAAA